ATATTCCCGTTCATTGTGGTACTCGGCCTTAACACAAAATCTAAAGCCCAAACTACAAATTAGTTAAAACGTGTTGATGAGGTTTATTTTGGATATGGACGTAAAGGACCATAAAATTGGTCACGAAGTCCTGCAGACAACAGACATGTTAAGTATGACAGGTGAAGTGAATCGGCAATTTAATTATGTTTATAAGATCTCCAGTGTCTGTGTCCAGGTTATTTTATAAGTTACAGTAAACTTTGTAAGGAAGCGTAGTAATTGGTCAACACCGCCAAACAATAAAACACTGGAACAGTATACCTAACCATATTAAAAACAGTAATAGTATCAGACAATTCAAAGTTGTAATTCAAAATAATACAACCAGTGAAGTTACATCAATAGAAGATAAGGATTTTTTTTATTACTAACCAATGAATGTTGTGTTTGTTCGAGTCGACCAAGTGTTTGTTTACCCGTACTGTTTACACTCGGGGTACATCAGTAATTTGTTAATAAATATACGAGTTCTAATCCCCGAGGTCTAATTATTATCAGCAGCGCGTCTAAGGTGTGTTTTTGTTTATCATTTATAGTGACAGCTGTAGCCTCTGACGATTAGTTGTCCGTTGGAGTGATAATGTTTTCAGATTATAGACTAACACCCATCCGCCTTCCCATCCACCCACTCTCTTACTCCCGCCCTCCCAAGAGCCAACGGTACAGAAGTAAGAGATATTTGATAAAGATTGAAGAGGTTTCGATATGCGTCTTTGTCTGGTAATGGAGGAGGTAGGACTCCATGCATAACTTTCACTCAAGAATATACCAGACAAATTAATCGGAATAAATAGTTTGGTGAACCTTTAGTCTGTGTGTTTAAGTTGTTTGTTTTATGATGTTTTATAGGTGTCTCGAATGGGTACTGTTTGTTTGTTTTTGTTTTTTTTTTCATTAATATTTTCACTTTCATTGTTTAGTGGGTAGGTGTTCTTCCACTTTCACTTCTTTCGCTGATTTTCTCTCCCTGTTTTCTTAATCTTTCTTAAATAGCGATGCCAGTTATTACTTATCTTTAGTAGTGGATCACAGTTTAGTTAAGAGACGGGAGGTAGTTGTGAGGATCCTTTAAGCTGAGTCTCGTCCTCTGCTGTAGGTTGTCAGCCTTACAACACCACCAGCCTCCCTGACGTCCGACCTTCGTTACCATGAAAGTTATTCGAAAGTTTTAAGTATTAATTAACGCTAAGAGCCAGAGGAAAAGAGTAGGTGGGCGTGATGGGAGTTCAACTGCAGGGCATAAAGAGAAACTCGGGTCAAAGGTCAATAATTACGTCTTCTTCCGCCTTGGGATGACTTCCTTCACATCCTCCTCTTTGCTCTCTCTCTCTCTCTCTCTCTCTCTCTCTCTCTCCTGGTCTTGAGTTATGATCTTCACCCAATAATACCAAGTTAGGAGCACTTTGTCTTAGTGTTTACTCGTATTTCTGACCCTCAGGCGCAGTATACTGTTACTGTTGGTCTTATGATAATCTGTCCAAATTCTCGAACATTCATACGAAATTTTCCCTCGATATGAATGAGAGAACGAGGCCGTTTTAGCTGGTATCTTTATGATCTAACGTTAATATAGCAGTTAGGGACGCTCTCTCATTTCAAGTTACAGGAAAAAATTAAAGTACCATCATTTGGGAATCTATGTCTGGCAGCCGAGAAAGCTTGAGAACTTACGAGGTTTAATGTTTGGGCAAGGCGTCACTGGACCTGCCTGATTTACAAGGCTGTGTTGTAATGCTCAGGGATGATGGTGTTCTTTGGCGTCTCGTACTGGGAATGGGTCGTGTCAGATTCAATGACTGAAGGATGACATGAATGTTTGGCCGAGGTACGATTCTGAACTACAACTTGGTTGTATGTATTGTATATAATAGCAATTAATGTCCCATTCAGAAGAGGTGTAGGAGGAGGAAGCGAAGTTAGTTTTAGTTTAATAATACTGTAATATTGGAAAGATTGAGAAACAATTTTGTCCAATCCGGGCAGTTCAGTCAGGTTTTGATACTGAGGGTGCTGTCACTGATCACTGCTAGAGCTTCATGCACAAAAGGAGATCCTGCCCACTTCCCTCACCCTCGACTCTCTGGCCGCCGTTCCTGAACCTTTCGTGGTATGAGGTGACGACCACACACGAGCACATATTGTAAAATCACTACCATTACCATCATCAACAATCATTATTAGCATCAAATAATTTTAGAATTCCATTACTCTCTGAGATTGAGGCATATAATGACATTAAAATACAATACTTTATCAGTTATTATACACAAAGAGCTGAGGTTTAATATACAACCAAGGCACCGCGTCACACCTGATCAAAAAGTATCTGTGCAGTTTGGTCAGGTAAATTTCTTAATGATCAGTACACCTATTGCCGCAACGTAACCACCAACACATTGTTCGTAAGATTAATCTGATCTATTTTCTTCTGAATGTGCATAATAATAGCAATACTTCCTATGGATAAAATAGGAAATGTCACTAGCAAGCGACATATGGCATTTTGCAATATTCATCGTCTGTGGTGTTAGGTTGTTTCACAAGAATTTAGATTTTTTTTTATCGTGTACACATAGATGTCTGTGTTGACACTTTATTTATAATACATTTGTATGGTGTTGACACGTATAATAAATGCTTGAGAGAATGGAGAGGACTCGGGCACTACAGCTAAGCCTAACCTCTGGCCAATATCCTGTAAACACCACTACACTCCGTCCACCTGTATAATGACGAAACGATAAACAAGACAGACCCGGTAGAGGCGTCCTTGTTGTGGGTGACAGCCACGATAATGTGCTGCGTCATCGTCACTACCTAACTATATTCTCTTTTTCTTGTGTTTGCAGGTGAGTGGTGAGGAGGATGGTGAAAGGCGGTGAGTTTGTGAACCTGAGACGTGGAAGCAGGCCCTATGTTGTTTACGTAACTTGGAAATGTACTTTAAGTTCTTTTGTAATAAAACTGGCAAATTGAAGCTTCAAGTTTAAATGATGCAGAGGAGGTGGAGTCCAGACAAATTGACTCCCAGTAGGTTCCTGTCTCTTACTGTAGCTGTGATGTCAACAAGTGGCACAGTGACAGATTTATCAATGATAATTTATCACTCATCCCCCGAAAGTGTTTCAGGACCACGAAACCAACAAACGAAATAAAAAAAAGTTGTGACACACTTATAGTAATATGATGTAATAAGTTGATGATGATGAAAACGATTGATGACTGAACATAATGAAACGGTCAACTGGGGAGAATTTGAGTTTGATGTAACCTATTTCTAAAAAAAAACTTATGGGAACTTTTTAACGACTAATTTGACGTATAAACTAAAAGCGAAGATATTATTTAGCAAAAGTATCATACTGATATATTAATAAATTGTAAACTTGGCACCTTGTTCACCTTCATCGTGGTGTCGCTCAAAAATGTTAAAACATTCGCCTCACTAATCCTTAGGGGCTATAAATGAACTGTAATGGAAGAAAATTCAAGGTATCGAACTGTTTTGAATTTTTTCGGGATTTATCCACCAAATTTGGTTATAGTCCAGTGTTATTTGTTCATGTTATTAGGTTCAAATTTCCCGCACGTACTAACGGACACACACTCGTACGCAAGGTCCTATGGCAGGCATTCCGAAATACTGTTCCTCTACCAAGACGTCGGGGTTAAACTGTGATATATATTGTAGGAAGTATGATTTTTTTTTTTTTTTTTTGCTGATTATGAGAGTGGAGAGGCGTTGAGAACAATGGTGAGTGGTAGAGGAGCCGTGAAGTAGGGGCTGGCGTTACCTCAGCGGGCTTCTGCTTCTTGAGGTAGGCAACCGCTTCCTAGCCTTTCTTCGTAGTGCGTAATGTTTCTTCGTTTTACTTACCATCTTCCCACCAGGTGTATTGTTTGTAGATAGTTCTTAAATCTGGCGTAGTTTCTTAACGTGAATGACTTTAATCGAATGAAATACTTACATGGTTTATCACAGATGCTGTCATTGTCACGTGGATTGTGGCTAATGGGCGCTATGTTTACACTAGATTTAGTTATGTATTTTGTCATTATTTACATTACACTGACTTTTAATTATTTGACTAGCTCACGTTTGTTGTCCTTCACCTTAAAACCGCATGTGCCCAGATGCCTCCCCCTCCCCCTGGTTCTGTAACTAGCCTACATCCCGTTAAGATGCTGGTGTCATGTCGCAAGTATGCACAGTCTACCGTTTACAAATCGGTGTCATGTTTGTAATTAAGTTTCCTCGTCTGGTTCCCGTTATTTTTAAGGAAGTCTGGAGAAGGCAAAAAAAGATAAATGCCACCCCACTGTCTACGCTGTAACCAAATGTATATGGCGGTGGACGAGTGCTGGTACACGTTATTACAGCGAGAGCAATTAATATTGTCCGCCATGTCTGGTTTGCCATATATAACGCTCTTGATGAGAATTATAAATGTATGGGATGGACGATGAGGGTGAGCAGTTGGTGGAGGAGGAAAAAGGACTTGGGTAGAAGAGGAGTGTGGAGAAAGAGGAAGAACAGGGTGGTGCTGGAAGTGGTGTGGGGTTGTTGCTTTAATAACCTAAGGTAAGTGGGAGAAATATGTTGTGCAGTATGGTGTTTATTGCGGGTGTGTGCCAGAACAATACGAAGGAGTTTCTTAGTGGCTCGTGTCGTGTTACAAGTTAAAGGAACATTGATATGAAGAAAAATAGTATTTATATTGTTAAAAATAATGCCACTAATAGGATGTCAAAAGAAGTATAATAAGGTGTAACGAGGGTAGATAAAGCTCTTCAACTAGCGTAGTTTCAGAAGCTCCTCCAAGGTCTTCTTCTCATTCACAAGTCCAGACACAGGTTCTTCAAATGCTATTGATGTTTCTTGAGGATGAAAACTATTTATAACTTTTCTTAAAATATCGCATAAGTTGGACTGATAATATATCCATTATTTTTCACAGGAACTGGTGGGGTCAACGAGGTCTCGAGTATGGAGAAATCTACTTTTGGGCACTGTGGGGATCATGCTTGTTGTGGCTGCTGGCATCGCCACCATCATTCTCACACGCGGGTAAGATCCTTTAAGAGTTCTCCTTGAATTGTTTGATACAAGAAGATCAACACAAACAAGGTAATAATACAGTACAGTAGTTAAATTAGCCTTATTCTGGATGCAGGAAATGTAATTACCCAAGATATTTTTGTATCTAATTTTAATTGATAACTTACCATTAACCAAGCAAAGTTACATTAGTTACACCTGGATAATGAGAATGGAGTACAGTACTGAAGTCACTTTCAAATTGCAAAAAAAAATATTGTATACAGTACCTGTATTGTACAAGTTAAATCAACAACTTAATTTAAAATTATATTAAGTTTATTACTGTGCTTACAGCTCGTCCAGTTTAGCACCAGCTACCTCAGCTTTAACGGCCACTCCGGGTGGTATAGCTTTAGGAGAGGTGCTAAATGGAACCTTTTCCACTGATTCCTTCAATGGCACATGGATTTCAGGTGAGTGCATGGATACTTTATTGATATCATTTTATTTGTATGTGTATCAAAGTTACCAAAGATAAATACAGTGCAAAAAAGTGCTGGGATGAATGCATTTTTGTGTGCTGGCAGTGTTCATGTCTGTATGGTCATTGGTACGAAGAAATATTCATTGATTAGTATACTGTTCTGTATTACAGTACATCTACTTTTTCTTGTAAAAACAGGAGGGGGGAGGATTTGTTTGACTGTCCCAAAATTTAAAAAAAAAAATCTTACTGTTGGGGCTACATGAACATAATTGTCTACTGTTATATGTTTAAGAAAAATTTGCAATAATGACAGAGAACAACCATTAAAAAATAGACATCACCGGTTGTGTCCATCTTGTTCACTGAGGTTGCATGGTTACAGAAGAGCCAGTACCATAAAGTATTTTCATTTACAGTACAGTATTAACAAGTGCATCTAGAGTTACACAACTTGTCACTCTCCATATGTAGCTTTCCTTATCACTATATCCATCCTTGTTCCATATCCATGTAGTCATACATTGTGTGGAAGTTACTAAACTCTTAGAAATAAGAAGTCATAACAATCTGTAGAATTCTTCAACAGAAATTTCAAAGCACCTGTGAGTCCATAACAGTTATATTGAAATGTTTGGTAAAGTTTCTCCAGTGTCCTGCCGCAAGTGTGATACCCAAAAGGAATGAGGCATCACAGGTATATATACAGATTGGAGATTAAGTACTGTATTAGTGCCCAAGTAGTCAAACTTATGAAATGAAGTTAAATCAGATTTTTCTAAATTGTTTAATTCCAGGTTTTCTTCAACTTGAAAATTAATTTGATGAGCACAGACTCCATTAATTATATAAATATACAGTACATGCACCAAAAGTTTATCATGTAGACTTAGTCACATTGTGATCAATCCTACCAAGATTGGTACAATTCTGTAAGCCTCTTCTGGAGTTATTTTGGTGACAGACAGACAAACTGACAAGACTGAAAACGATACTGTACTGTACTGTACAGTATCTGTACCCTGCCTCACAGTTGCAGGATGGTACAAATGCTGTTCTGAGGTTGAGACAACTGCAATGTTGAATGCATTGATTTGATGGTACAGTACAGTAATACTGTACATGCAGTACAGTATTTTCCAATTGGGATTAAAATGTTTATATTTCAAAATGGAGTATTGTGTAAAGATGTACTGTACAGTGTGTACTGTACAAATATTGGGAAAATTATTTTTAGGGAAAGATCAAAATTATATTTGGGACTTTATTTATACAATACAGCAGCTACATGTATGTCTGTAGATAAAGTCTGTATTTATTTTTCCCTGCAGATAATGAATTTTTATACCGGGCTGAATCGGGGGCCCTCAACATATTTACTGTGGACACCCTGTCCTCTCATGAATTGGTCAGCGAAACTGTCATGGTAAGTCACTTAGTCAGTGTTACTTTATCCTCTTCACCAATTTTTGGCTCTCTAGCCAATCAGGTGGTTGGTTATTTCTCTGTCATGCATCTTTGGCAAGCACTGTACTTGTACTGGGTATGCTGTGGCTTTAGAAAGTATTGTACCTGAACATATTTTGAATTCTACTGGCACTGATCTAAAATAAAGTCCTTCTACATTCACAAATATATATATATATATATATATATATATATATATATATATATATATATATATATATATATATATATATATATATATATATATATATATATATATATATATATATATATATATATCACTGTAGGGTGCGTGATCTAGGTATATGCTGATAACCACAAGGAAAGAAAGAAAACCGAAGTTCCCAAGCTTTAGTGTAATTCACATCTTCAGGGGTGAGTACAGACTAGAGAGTAATACAAATCAAGGTGTATATATACAGAGGAGGGTGAGACCAGGTCCACAATGGTCAGGTATTAGGTAATGACCCTACTAATCTTTAAATAGCACACAACGGTTGGGGGTCAGGTCAGATGGTCAAGTGGCCGGCCTTCTCACCTGATCACAAATCTTCTTAATTACAAAATTGTCCAGCTTGTACATGCCGTTACTCAAATTCATGTTGAATGCTTGGTATGTTTAATAAGATAGATTCTATGATGTTCCTACTATCAATTGAATTACATGGTAATATTGAGGAGGCATTATCCCAGTCAATGCAATGCTTGTTATCCCTCAAATGAACAAACAGAGCATTGGATTCCTGGCCTGTCCTAACACTGTATTTGTGTTGTTTAATTCTAGTTGCAAGATCTTTACCTGTCTGGCCTAAGTAAAACATATTACATTCCTTGCAAGGAACTTTATAAATGCAACCAATTGTGTTGTTGGTGGAGTTCTTGATTAACATTTGTTTAGTAACATCTCGATTTCCATTCACATTTTCCTTGTACTTTATTATGGTGTTCATTGATATGTACTACAGTATATACCAAAATAAAGAAAAAAGCATGAAGAATATTGTGGTACAGTCTAAGGAAAATTAATCTAACACAAAAACTCGTGGAATTATTAAAGGGCCGAGCGGCACACCTTCCTCTCGCTCTAATGGCCAGAGGGACATTGGCTTCCTACTGCGCTGCCACGCACACGGTGACCAAGACCGTCTTGGGGAAGGTGATAAGGCCCACACAAAGAAAACGACGTCTGTCAAATGGCGTCCAAAGTTCAGTCGGTTTCACTGAATAGTTTTTGAGTTATTTGAAAATACAGTATAGGCCATTGGACGCCACGTTAGTGTCGTGAGGCCGAGCATAAGTTTTTTCACTTTTTATGTTCGACGCCACAATAATGTCGTGCAAGGCTAAGAGGGTCGAGTCATTACTTTGACCAGTCTTGAAGCTAACAAAGATCTTGTAGTGCTTCACAGTCAGCTTGGTTCTTAATTTCCATGAATAATGAATAACTTGGTGTCTTCTGCAAACATTTGTATGGAGGAATGTACCCAGAGGTATTAGAATGACTACAGTTGGCTATATTATACTATAGATGAGTAAGGGGGGATTAAACATAAATGTATGAGCACCTCAAAGGACATTGTTCAGTTAAGTGTTCATACATGGAAGTACCTGTAGAGGTCACAGCCTCAGGTTGAAGCCATAATTTCAGAAAAATGTAAAGACAATCTTTATTGGAGCGAGAATTGTGAACTCTTGGCATAATCTGCTATGGAATGTTGTAACGGCATTGAGTGGGAACTAGTTTAAGACCAAACTTGACCAACACTGGTGCAGGTTCATATATATTCTAGTACATGCCCAGTTCTTGCCAACGGAGCGTAACAGTCGCATGACCTACCGCTCAGGCAACTAACAAGCTGATCGGTGGCGAAGAGGATAAAGTATAAGTTTGTTTTTCTGTTATCTAAATACAGTAAGAGTTTCATTTGTAGAGTGAGAAATAGTTCAAATTTAAGAGGATGCTGTATCCTAGTACGTATAGTATTGTAATGGAATCTGTAATTTTACATCGGTTTTTCAAAACCAGGAACGATAATTTTTTAGTTACTTAAGTATATGTACTGTATTGGGGAAAAAAGGCAAACCCAAAATAAAATCTAAATACAGTATGAGATGTAATTTACTTATTTACTTATCTTCATTGCCACACGTCAGCTTACTACCCTGTAGCTATAGTCGTCTTCTTTTTATTTTTTTATTTATTTTTTTTTTAGCTGATGGTACTAGGCTAAGCAGCACCCCCCCCCCTCCCTCTGAAAGCATGAATCTGTTTGTGACTTATATGGTAGATATTCTTTATTTAAAACTTTTCCCAGTCATATCTTGAGACTTAATGTGTTCAAGCAGTTATGTCTTTACATACATTAAATTCAGCATTAAAATGAGCCAGAACTCGGTATTTGAACATTACGTAGGAGGCGATGAGCTGCAAGAGGGCGGGGCTTGTACCGTCAACAAAAAATAAAAAAAGAATACTGTACAGTGCTTCACTATTATGCACTGTTGTAAGTACAGAGCATTTCCTTTCATAATCATAAAATATTACTATCATTTATATTATACAAATGATGGATCACATGTTCTCAGTGAACACTGTATCCAGTAGTGTATAGGTACAGTATCCTTTTTACAGTATGTGTATTGTATTTGCAATATGTTACTACTTGAAAAGTTTTGGGGGGAAAAATTTTGTTTACACTGTTGTAATACTATACTGTAATATGTACTGTCATTTGTTTCTCCAGAGTGGTTGGCGAGTCTTCAAGTACGTCTTCTCTCCTAGCAGGAAATACCTTCTCATTATCCATGATGTGCAGAAGGTCAGTTTAACAACTTAATCATGTAGTCTGTATAAGGTTTCTCTGCAGTTAATTATGCCATCTTAAATTATATACTGTACTGTATATATGAAGTTAAAAAAGAAATTGCAAATACATGACAATTAAATTTTAATTGCACGAATCGGTAAACAAGTATTTGTGGAATATCTGTATATGCTGGTATTGTCACTGACGAATTTCTTCTTTTTGTTTTCTTTTCAGCTTTTCCGTTATTCATACTTGGCTCGTCATACCATTCTCAACCTGGAGACTGGGTAAGTGGTAAATCTTGTTTGTGTCAATGAAGAGTCCGTTTTGTAAATGTAGAACAGTTTAGACTAATATCTAACGTTCCTTCATTGTTAAATTAGGACTATTTGCCCTGTGTGGGCACTTTTACTTATTTATTTTTATTTATTTTTTCACATTTATAAATGAAAAGGTGGATAAGGTGGCCAGGGCCACTACATTCCGTCCAGCTCCTATAATTAAACCACTCTCATATTGGGGTATGTGTCCTCATATTAGAGCTGCCGTATGTTATACCAAGCAGTGTTGTTGTGATGCCATTGTTGGCCCAAACAAATTTTGGGAAATTACAATGGAGATTCACCCCTGGATATAGACCTAAATGCCATGGAGATGGGCTACAGTCCTTGCCAAGTTTTGCATTGACCATTTTGGGCTGACACACAGCTACTTGATGATCCAGGAGCCCCAACCAGTATGTGAAGACTGGCCTATAATTATTTGTGGAGTGACGATTGCCCTGCTTGAATATAGGACTCGCATAAGCCATTTTCCAGTCACTGGGGAGTTTTTGCTCATCCAGGCATCTACAGAACAGGACTTTTGACTTCTTAACAAAATAATTCACTAGAGTTTTAAAATTAAAACTTCCTGAAAGCCTCGAATATCAGATCTCTTGCAGGGTGTTGTTGCTAGACCCCAGCAGAGGGCTAGACAGCCTTCATGCCACATCCATCCATCCCTCCCTCATACTGTACAGTATATGATTTCATAATTACACTCAGGGTATTGTTGTCACTCCTCCTGTGTTTACTGTATACAGTATGTAGGTCTGTGGGTTTGTCTGTGGTGTTAACCTAGATCTTTGTATTGCAGGTAGTTTCTCAACTTTTGATTAATTAATTTGAACCATAATAGGCATCATTATTACTTTTCAAGATTTATACATGTGGATTTTTTATGGATCACTTATTTAAAGTGCCTAAAAAAATTTCCCCTAGGGGTCCCTCAAATTTTGTGGCCATCTTTGTGCCATCAGATTTTTTTGGTTTTTAATCTGTAACTGTGCTCAGTCACACAAAAACATTGCATAGATTCAAGCACATATGGTAAGGAAGTTCCCTTTGATTTTGCCTTGTTTTTGTATACCCTAGTTGCTCAAGGGGTCTTTCATTAATTTCCAGGCTAAATTTGCATCAGTTAATTGTCAATACAATAAGTTATGGAGGATTTTGCAGTACAGTTTGTCTTGTATGATCTAGGTGATTGTGCCCACAACATGCTGTACAGGTTTCTCTTTCTTTTGAGAACTTGTGTCGTCTGGCCATACAGCTGATGTTGTAAACTGCAACAAACTACCTAATTAATAGAAAATAGTTGTTGTATCCTACTGTACATATTTTTTTCAAATTCTTGGTATTAGGGGAAAAAGTTGGTTATGTGTTTCGTGTGCTGTGGTCTTTGAGAATTATGAGCACGTATATTTAGAACTGCTGTTAGTAGTGCAAGAATGTTTAATGAATTTAAACCCCCATGGTAACCATATTTGATTCTGGAGTAAGGGAGTGATGTAGCACGTGTGTTAGATTTCAGTACACAATTGAACAATAAAAAGTAGAAAAAGATAAAAAAAAATGTAATCGTATATTAAATGTTTGTTTTTTTGTTCTTACAGGTGCTGTAACTGTTTATTTCACAATTATATTTTGCTTCCAGAGAAACTGTTCCACTTGCACCAACACGAGTCAGAACAAGGAGTGAACAACCACCTCTCCTCTTTGCTACCTGGGCCCCAACTGATGATGCTTTGGCCTTTGTCTCCCACAATGACTTGTACTATACTACAGGTCCTGACCTGGATACAATGTATAGACTTACTGACACCGGACAGATTGGTAGCATCTTTAATGGCATTCCTGACTGGGTGTACGAAGGTATTTGAGCCTTACGTTTCCTTGATTATGCAATACAGTCAACCCTCACTTTACGCGGTCCCACATTCCGCGTTTCCACGTTTACGCGGTGCCCTGCCGGAACCCAGGATGCTCACATTCCGCGGTGCGTGTACCCCTTTACGCGGAGAGCGGCTGGCGAGCCGCGCCATTTTTGGATCCAAACCTCCCGCCATGTTGTGTAAGCGGCGCGAACATGGTGCGCACAAGGTCGCCCAGTCATCAAAACATTACCGGTTCTTCACCCGCCACCCACCACAGCCGGCCCAAGTCAGTGATAGTGATAATTATGGTGAGGATATGGACTTGTATGGACTTTGGGGGATTTGACAAAGAGGCCCTGCAAGCCTCTGTGGTGGATAGTGATACAAGTGATACAGGTGAGGGCCAATAATCTGCCCTCTACCTCGGAACCAACCGCCCATCCCCGTGTGCCCAGCCATCTTTTCTACTTATGTAAGTGTTAAAAAACCTAATATTATTGATATTTCTCTTAATTATTAATTGTGTGTGCATACCATCATAAAGTTAAGATAATATTTTTACTACAACATAGTTGTGTGTCGTCAAAAAGTGGAGTTTGGGGGTCGGCCCGGTCTCTATTTCAATTAATCCCATATGTTATGTTATTCACTTTACGCGGTACCCTGTGGGTTACATTAACTGCGTAAAGTGAGGGTTGACTGTATACATTCTATAATTTAAAACTACAAGGTATTGTAGTGTTATTAGGTTTTGTATTGGTCTACAGCATAGACACCAAAAACAGTACAGTACTAAAATATGTACTGTACTGTACTGTATATGTAAAATAAATTCTTCTCTAGGTGAATTTTAAAAATAAATTTTACAGATATCTTGCCTCTAGGTAGATATTTCTTGTTTGATGAATATATAATTTGTGAGAAATGGATTGTGAGATACTGAATGTTTTTGATATAGAGAGGAAGCCAATAGTAGCAGTGAAGAGTTATTAATACAAGGTCGATTGATGCATACCCAGTACAGTATGTAGATGGAGAGTGAATGCTTTAGAGTGGAATTTGGAGTGAGAAAAAGATGTATTATGTCCCCATGTTTGCCTGATATTGCTATAGAGGGAATTTTGTGTTGAGAGCATTGTAGTCTTGGGCAACACGAGGGAATTAGAAGGTAACAAAGACTGAAGAGGATGGAAGGTAATGGAAAGGGGAATGGTGCTGTATGTGGCCAGTCTATTCTAACGTGAGGCTGCAAAGGAAAAGTTTTCCATGACAGAATTTAGAAGACTGTAAGAGAGAAACTGAAAGTGAATGTTGACAAATTTAGGTATTAGATGGTACATGAGGTGTTGGAAAAAGAGGTTATAGATATATGAATGAAAAAGGTTGGTAATCACTGGTATGTATATGGAAAAGAGAAGTAGTAGTTGTACAAGGAAAGGAGAGTCTGTTTAGGTGGCTTGGATATGTTAAGAAACTGGATATAAAATTGAGGATTAAAAGGCATGTGAAGGTGGTCATTTGAAGAGGATAGTGGATACCAAAAAAGAAGAGGAAGGACAGTGGACGAGTAACTGAGTAAGGGTTGAATATGTAAGTGTGCAATATATGGAGCTGAGAAAAGATAGGAAATAACATGGAGGCTGTGCATCATCCATCATGCTAGATAAAGGACGATGGGTTCTGGGATATTATAGATAGTGGATTGATAGCCTTAAGGAAATGTACAGGATATTACTTATTACATTACTGTATTGATTTCATTTCTCATCATAGAGGAAATCCTGAGTTCAAATTCTGCTTTATGGTTCAACCCTGATGGCCGTCGCCTTGCTTTTGCCACTTTCAATGATTCACGAGTGGACACTATGAACTTCCCTCTCTACGGCCGTCCTGGAGACCTGTCTTTCCAGTATCCCATTCAGCAGTCCATCAAGTACCCCAAGGTTAGAAAATCTCTTGTTGCAGGAAGGGAGGTTACAGGTTTCCAATTGACATTAAAAAATTTTTGATCTCTGTGGCAGAGTACAGTATATTATTGTTTTTCAATTAGTTTCTTGCATTTTCCTTTCTTTCCATCCTTATAAAGGAAAATCTTTCTGAACATCTTGTGTGTCTCCTACAACCTTGAACAATGGACACTTGAGTGGTTAGCTATTTAAGCCAACACCCAAGCAAATTGAAAATTTTTGTCAAATTTGAAGTGATTACTGAAATACTTGACAATGACCTTTTACATAGCTTTTTTTTTTAGTAAGGCATTGTTTCCAGAAATTGTTAATACTGAAGCCTGTTAAAACTAAAGTTCACAAATTAAAGACATGTTTTAAAGACTGGATGTTCTGTACACAAAGCCAATTTAAGTCCTAGGCAGCAATAGAGATTTAACAAATTTATGTTTAATAAGCAATGAGCCACTTACTGTGCACATTTATTTTTTTTATGTTTGCTTGCACACTTTGTATTGAAGACATAAGAACAATAGTACTACTATAATTTACCATAGAACATTGTATACCAGGTACTGTATTTGTTTGGTTATCTTGCAGGTGATGTAGATACCATTTGTTTCATTGTAAGAAGGAAACTAAACATTCTGTATCGGAAATATATACTGGAGCCTCACTTATTAGTTCAATACAGTACAGTACAGTATATAACTTCACATAAGGTATGAGAATTGCTGTACTGTACATTATTTTAGCACAAAATATAGTTAAAAGTTCACAATGCGGCAAAACTTAAGATTTCATGTACAGTACACAACTGCTCTATGAAGGCTTTACTGAAACTGCATACTGAATTCCTATAGGTTCCTTATGTGTGGGTGAAAGAAGCACTTATGGTTGTTATGCGAGATATTTTGGATCACTCGGCCTTATTTGAACAAGAATAAGTTATCAAGTTCTTATCTGGAATTTCAAGTTTAATGGTTTATTTTTAATTATCTGTAACTTAGTTTTTGAATCTGCACTGTTTTACTTTTGTTTTATAATTGTCAGTTAAGTGAATTTGTCATAAGTATTTGACTTATGACAGTTTTTATGGAGTTTTAACCAAACCGCTTTCTTATGCACAGCAAATAAAATACCTTGCATTTGTTTTAGCCTGGCCGTGCCAATCCTGTGGTAGACTTGTGGGTGGTAGACCTTGGGAAACTGGTGAGCGGTAGTGGAGAAACTGTGACCCGCCTGCCTCCTCCAACCTCTCTGGCATCAGTGGATCACTACTTCACCACTGTTGGTTGGGCCACACCCGATAAAGTATCTGTTATGTGGATGAACAGACATCAGGTTAGTATCTGTACAACTATTTTGTGTTATGGATGGACTGAAAAAAAAGAAGTATTGTTAATGTCCGCTCCTTAATACTGTACAGAGTGGTGTCTGTGAATTAGATTAGAGCATAAGTATTCGAATATAATGATATTTTTTGCCAGTCTAAGGTAGGACTACCAAAGCTTCATATTGCCTTTGGTCGGGGCCTGTTATTAATTCACTTATAACTGTTTTCCAGAATGTGAACATCATTAGTCTATGCTCGGTAGATGGTGTTTGTAAAGATGATTTGGTTCATGAGTCACCAGATCATGCATGGAATGACCTATATACTACTCCTAAATTTGATGAAGTGAATGGTGACACCTACCTCATCATTTTACCCACTAATCAGGGAGAAAAGGGAAATTTCAAAGTAAGATCCTTTTCATACTGTTTTGTATACAAGTTGCTATTGTTTAATTTATTTTTTACTTTAGAAAACTTGGACCCCTCAAATAATGTATATCATTAAACTTTGAAATATGAAAATGTTCAGGTCTTAAACATTAATGAAATTCTTATAAAAAATATGGAATTTTTATCCAGCATATCAACCTTCGGCGTTCATCTGACAAAACCTTGATCCCCTTGACAACTGGCACATATGAAGTTGTGGAGATTCTTTCTTGGGACCAAAAAAATCATCTTATGTGAGTATTTGTTTAAATTTTTGTATAGTTTAATAATGATTATACCCTGTACCGTATCCATAAACATAGTAAAGTACAGTAAGTCATATATTAAGACAGAGATGATCACATGGTGTCCTTTTTGAGGAAGTTTATCTTGATGAGTAAAATTGTATGGGAGTAGTACTGGGTAACCCTCTCTTTTCATGCAACCTTGGCCAGTGTTTGAGCCATTATGACTGATAACCTCATATCTGATACTGTACTGTACTTAAGACACGTTTAAATTTTGATTGGGGCAGATTACCAAAAAGTACCATTGTTTTGCTTGCCTTTCCCTCGTGAGAAGGTGTCCATCATAATTCGTAAAATCTACAATGTGTAAGAGCTAGAGCCCCTATTATTTCGAATTATGAGGGTTTTACTGTACAGGTACTGTATAGGCCATGAGAATTACTGTACAAAAGATACAGTAAAAAAAAAAATTTTAACATAGAAAAAATATTAGATCTCATTAAAATAGGGTTATGACCTAGGTACTGATTCTTTTAATATGGATTATTTCTCTTTTCAGTTACTTCACAGCAGCTCCTGCAGGAAAACCTGGACAGCGACATATCTACTACGTTGGTGACCTGAATTCTAATGAACCTAAACAAGCTTTCTGTATTACTTGTGGCTTCAAAAATGACTTTAATGTGAGTGTAAAGATGTGAAATATCCATTACATGTATCCACGTGTTTAATGATGAGGAGGTGTTCCTGAAAAACCTAATGTTATGTGTAATTCTCGTTAAACGAAGGATAACCGCATAGCACAGAGGGCGAACAACACGTTCAAATGGCAGGGCAGTAAACACCGAGTACCGTATAGTAGTACTGCACTGTCCTCCTTAATAATAATAATAATAATAAACAAGTTTGTTATAAATAGTTCCGAAATTAAAAGATTTACTTATTAACACGCAACTTCTATATAAATGATGTGGTACGGATTTAGATGATTTAGTGAGCACAAGGTAAGCCTAATTCAAACAAATTTTAAATTACATATATAAAAAAAAAGCTATGATAAACAATAAAATTGGTACATAGCACTGTATATCATAAAATACAATAGCACATGGTAGCATAGTAGTGAAGGAAACATGAGTAAGTGCTGTCCACTATGAACAATGACAAGAGCACATATTTTATGGGAAAAAAAAAAAGCTTCCACACTCAAACCATCCTCTGGGTGACGTCACACAGTGCAGCGTATAACATGACGTCACATGGGGGGGGGTGGGGGGGCCTGGGTGGCGAGTCAACAATGCAGTTGCAGTTCACTTCACATACATACCCATGCTCATTTTTATTATTTTATGGTTTTTATATTTTATTTATTTCTAAACCACATTAGAGTACTGTATTGTACAGGGGGTCCCCAGGTTACAAACGGACTCTGTTCCTAAGGACGTTCTTAAGTCGGATTTGTATGTAAGTCGGGAACCCCCTATACAGTATAGTCTGCATTTACGCGGTTAATTGAACCCGTGGAGGCCCGCGTAAAACGAAAAATACATAAATGAAATAATAAAATATATGGGATTAATTGAAATAGAGACTGGGCCGACCCCCAAACTCCACTTTTTCCGACACAATACGTACCTTGTAGTAAAAATAACATCTTAATTTTATGATGGTATGCACACACAATTAATAATTAAGAAAAATATCAATAATATTAGGTTTTTAACACTTAGTAGAAAAACTGGGTCAGCACACGTGGATGGCGGCTGGTTCTGAGGCAGGGCAGATTAGTTGCCCTCCGGTGAATCACTTTCACTACTCGCAGAGGTTTGCAGGGCCTCCCAGACAAACCTCTCAAAGTCCATATCCTCACTGTCTATATCACTATCACTGACTTGGGCTGGCTGTGATTGTGGTGGGTTGCGGGCGAGGAAGTCCTCAATACTACATTGACGACTAGCATTGATGTTGTCGAGATAGATCTGGATATACGGCTCCATAACTTTCGTCAGATGGTTATTAGACACTTCATACTGATGCTTGTCTGGGTCGTTGTCAAGGATGAGCTTAAGTTTCTCCCCCAACTCGATGATTTCCTTCACATTATCATGGCTTGGTCCAGGTAATTCAAGGTTTTTCTCTGGTGGTGGGGGTCCCGCGGAAGCCATTGTGAGATGTGAGCCATTGTGAGATGTGAGGGGATAGTGGGCACAAGAGAGAACTGTATATGCGGACTGAAAACAATGAGACAGGCCCTGCTAGGTCAGCAACTTCTACCCTCTGGTGGCAGGGCACGTCATGACACATTAGACCAATCACAGCTAGCGGCGGAGGGAATGCGTGGGTGGTGAAGATGCGTGGCCCAATCACAGTCCGATACGTCATATGATGTCGGCGATAACGTAAGAGCGGCCAAATGCGCACCACTTCCCGCGTATGGTCAAGAATGGACCGCGTGGGTAAAAAATGGCACGGCGGTCTGGACCTCTCCAGCCGCTCGCTGCGTAAATGATCAAATTTACCGCGTAATTGAAGCATTTTCATTCTGGCAAGGCACTGAGTAAATGACCAAACGCGTAAACAAAAACCGCGTAAAGGCAGACTATACTGTATTGATTTTTCCACAACTTTTATAGTTTCATTCCATGTAACAAAGGCAACATGCCATCTCACAAGCCACCTCATCCTCAGTTTTCCCCCTTCAAAGTGAGTCCAGCTATTGTTAAACTAAACTTTTACATGTTAAGAAAGAAGGGGTGTCAAAATTTGTTTATCGTTAAACCGAATTAACATTGAATTAGCGCTAAATGAGGGATACCTGTACTATATAGTCTCTAGATGTAAGCGGTAGAAGTAAGTTGAAAAAAGTATAATGATATGCTTGATAGCAATGTGTGGGATGGATAGAATGCACAGAATGAGACAAACATATATAAGAAGACTATTGCTAAATTGATGTGACATATGGGATGATGGGAAGAGCTAGCTTGGTATGAGAAAGAGGGGGCAAATCTGAGGAGTTGGAAGAATGGGGTGAGGGAGATACTAGATGAGAGAAGAATGAATATCCGGGAAACAACGATTGTGACCAATTAAAGAGAGAGAATGACAGATAAGGAATGGAAACCGTTACTTTTGATTCTTGTTCCCAAGTGGGAAAGCTCCTGCAAGAGTGAGGATGCTTTACTGTACTGTATAGGTATTTGGTTTATCAATTACATGGTGTACTGGAATCAAGCACACAGATTATGATTTACAACTCCTATACAGTCAACCCTCACTTTACGCGGTTAATTCAACCCACAGGGTACCGCGTAAAGTGAACAACATAACATATGGGATTAATTGAAATAGAGACCGGGCCGACCCCCAAACTCCACTTTTTGACGACACACAACTATGTTGTAGTAAAAATATTATCTTAACTTTATGATGGTATGCACACACAACTAATAATTAAGAGAAATATCAATAATATTAGGTTTTTTAACACTTACATTAGTAGAAAAGATGGCTGGGCACACGGGGATGGGGGGTTGGTTCCGAGGCAGAGGGCAGATTATTGGCCCTCACCTGTATCACTTGTATCAATTGTATCACTATCCACCACAGAGGCTTGCAGGGCCTCTTTGTCAAACCCCTCAAAGTCCATACAAGTCCATATCGTCACTATAATTATCACTATCACTGACTTGGGCCGGCTGTGGTGGGTGGCGGGAGAAGAACTCGGTAATGTTTTGATGACTGGGCGACCTTGTGCGCACCATGCTCACGCCGCTTACACAACATGGCGGATGGCGGGAGGTTTGGATCCAAAAATGGCGCAGCTCGCCAGCCGCTCTCCGCGTAAAGGGGTACACGCACCGCGGAATGTGAGCATTCCTGTTTCGGCAGGGTACCTCGTAAACGTGGAAACGCGGAATGTGGGACCGCGTAAAGCGAGGGTTGACTGTACTATAATATGTAAGGCCCTTCACCATTAGAACTGGTTAAGATAAAGCATTGGTTGAAATTAAAAAAAATTTCTAGGAAATTTATTAACTCCAGTCTAAGATGTTTACATTGCCATAGAATATTTGGTAAAGATTACACTGTGTTGTTTATGTAGTATTTAGAATTTTTTACCGGTAATCACGGGGTAGATTTTTATCAATAAGTAATGGATGGGATGATGAAGGAAGTGCTATTGTAAAGAAAAGCCTTTTTTTTTTCTTATTTAACTGTTCAGTACAGTACTTGTACATACAGAGTAAAGTAGTTATTTTACCTACTTGCATATAATTTATATTATGTATAACTTTGGATAAAAGTCTTGGATACTGATCTGTATTCCAGTTAAGCAGCAACTATGATATTTATGTTAATTTCATTTAATTTAATTAATTGGATGACTGGTACGGCGCCAAATTGCCGTGCTCGGAACAACTTACGTTTTATACACGCAGGGGCTAAGGTCAGGAATATCCAGGAAACCTTAAATCAAGGCAGCTAGGGCTAATCGGTGATCAACCCTACCCCGTAGTACAGTATTTAACTTTGTCCTCAGAAAAGGAATATTGGAAGCTACAGTTACTTAAAAGATTGAGGGCCATGAGTTGTGTATTCAGACCTGGCTATAGAGCACGATTGTAGGACCACCCTCGCTCCAGAGGTGGGGTAGGTGTAGGGGAGGGATGTGGGGTGTCTGAAGTCCCACTGACCCCCACTCCAGTTGTTAGATGCAATGAGGAGGGGGTTTGAGGCTTGTTGATGGGGTCATCACCCATGCACTATTGACCAGGCAAATTAACCAATAGTATCCAATAATAAATCACAAATATTAATAACCTTTTTCAAGAAACAGTTGTCAACTTGTCAGAGCTCCCCTGTTGGGTGGAAGGAATGACCACCATATATGTGTAGAAATTATAATGACTAAGTGCTGGGCTAGCTGCCATATGTCTCTATTACATGTCTCCAGGTCTATCAATGAACTTATTCATTGACTGTACAAACAGAGCACCATTTTGCATAAAAACTTATGGCTAGTGATTACTTTTTCCAAGATTTGTGAATGGAAGTTATCTTAGGACAGTACTACTGTATGTTTTTAATTCCAATACACCTAGAAATCCATTTCATATTTCAATATTGTCATAAAGAATTCATATTAAATAGGCAATACATATTTCTTTGCAGGTTCGTGAAAGACTACTTGACCGCTCACTACCTCTGGAGAAACGACTGGAAATTGATGTAGAAGGTGGATTCAAGGCCCAGGTCTCCATGAAAATGCCACCCGATTATAACCCTACCCGCTAGTCATACCCAATGCTGGTTTATGTGTATGTAAAAGCTACTAATGTTCATTGTCTTCATGGGTTAAGCTAAGGGGAGTCTATAATAATAATAATAATAAACGGTTTATTAATAGAGTTGCAGCTGGTGGCTGAAAATATACACTTACATTAGATTTAGACATGATATAATATACATTGAATACATTTACTTAGTATAGATATTATAGTCATATCCTAAAACCCAGTCCAGTCTTGTGAATCCTATTATGTGTTCCTAGTTACCATCCTAACTTTAATGAGTTTAAAGTACGTAATTAAATTAAAACATACAGTATTCAAAAGCTTTCTTGAGTTTCATATCTACAGTCCACATGGCTCTATTCCATAAATACTGTGTATCAGCTGCCCCTTTCCAGTGTTCAGTACAACCACCAGTAGGAGAATTATTGGTTGAGGTTTTCCTTTACTTGCATACAGTATTGGAACAAGTAATACACAAGTGGAATGTTGGAATGTCTTTCTTAAGGTTATTCTTGTTACCCTGTTGAGAATATGTTCCATAAAAGTATTGACTCTTGAATTACTGTACAACATACCTATTTGCCATTGTTTGGTTATACAGGTATTGCTGTACCTGTATGGCATTATATGAATATGTCTTGTATAAAAAATGGTTACAATATTTTGAGTGATGATATGAAACATGTCATAACAATAACATTATCAGTTTTTCAAATTGGTTAATGCTGGCTACTGTATACTATTGTATATCTTTAAAGGTAATATTGAAGTCAGAAATGAAAAAATCATGAATCGTCATTTATCTACATACCTGTCTTTTATGTGGATTTTAAGTACTGTACTGTATATTTATTTTATTTTTTTTACACTAGTTAATCCCATAAACATGGTCTCACTAAGTCCCTCCTCCCCTCCAGTTTTAAACCAAGTTGAACCTCTGGCCATAATGAAATACATCATGTTTTAAGTGTCTAAAGTATACAGTATACAAAGTTTTAAATTTGTCCTTGACTTAGTAACTCTTGTTTTTATTTTTAGATATGGAGGTCCAGGTTCCCAGCTTGTGAGTGACAGATTCAGAATTGATTGGGGCGATTATTTGGCATCTCAACGAGGAATTATATATACATCAATTGATGGCAGAGGATCTGGATATGCTGGAGATAAACTTCTCCATTCACTTTATTATGGATTAGGAACTGCTGAAGTTGATGATCAGCTTGCTGTCACTGCGTAAGTAATAGTTAATTAGTTTGCCAAAATAGAAATTTAGTGAAGCTTCTGAAGGCATACAGTTGGATACAACACTATCCTACTGTCCTAATTGTCTCTGGTTTGTGCTATAAATAAGTATCAAACTTTGCACTTAGTTTACAGTTTGAGAAGCAAAGGTGGATGTGTGTAGTGCTGGCCATATTAATTCCTTGGGTCTAAAAAAAGGCTTAATATTCATTCTGCACATGGGCCAACATTGATTACTCTCATGTTCATAATAAAGTAATAACCATTATCAATATTAACAGAAATCAAATAGAGCAGGTCCTCTATTTGTGTTGTGGATGGGTTCCTAGAAAATACTTGAGAAACGACATAAATTGACGTGTGTTTTCTCCAAGACTTAATGTTATACAAGTAGTGTAGGTATTTTTTTATTTTTTTATTTACAGTACATAATTGTACTTCACAGAAAAATATTAAATAACTACCAAAAGAGCCAGCCTAAAAATAACATAAATAATACCATACTGTGTGACATCCTTGTTGTTATGCTTGTACAGGAACTTAAGTGTGCATTGTGCTCTCTCATCTGGTGCGTTGGGTTGGTCGAGTCAGGCAACAGTTTTTTGGCAGAATTGCATCCTCTTGTTTAATTCTTTTGATGTTTTTAGGCTATTTTTCTTGTTGTAACTTAACCAAGAGTTTCAAGATAGTATTGTACAAGTACTGTATATTGTTCCACCTTTATCAAAAGATGCAAAGGTGAACAATAATTGTTAAGAAAATATGAATAAAAATATAATTAATGGCACAGGGCAGGAATGAAACTGCTGATCGAAACAGGATAGCAGACACTGCAGTTTTTTTTTTATCTTGTTTATTATATAAATTGTTTTGTTTTTTTCATACAGTGAACCCTCACTTTACGCGGTCAATTGAACCCATGGCGGCCCGCTTAAAGTGAACAACATAACCTATGGGATTAATTGAAATAGAGACCGGGCCGACCCCCAAACTCCACTTTTTCCCGACACAATACGTACGTTTTAGTAAAAATAACATCTTAACTTATTCACACACATAATATAGAAGGGAACAATCAATAAGAGAATAATATACTGTAGGTTAGGTTAAAAAAAAAAGGTTAAGGTTAACACTTCGTTAGTAGAAGAGATGGGTAGGCGTGCGGGGAATGGAGGCTGGTTCGAGGCAGAGGGCAGGCTACTGGCCTCAGGTGAAGATCTTCATCACTGTCATCCACACACTTACTAGTGCCTCCCTGACAAATCCCTCGAAGTCATCATCCTGTCTCTGTCACTATCCCACTGTGGGCTGGCTGGTGGAGTTGCGGGCGAAGAACTTCGGTTATGCTTTGCTGGCGGCTGGTGTTTATGTTGTGTGATACACCTTGATGTGAGCCATAGTCTGCAACAGCTGGGTGAGTGAATTCGTGCGGTTATCGTCAGAATTAATCCGGAAAGGAGGAGCTTGACTTTCTCAATACACTCGATGGCATCCTTACATTACTATGGGATAACTTGCGTTCTTCTTGGGATGGCGCCCACCTGCCCTCTTCACTAGCGTCTCATCATTTAGCATCTGGAAATGGGGAGTAGTCACATCAGGATCCTTATCACCTCCAGGATAATAAATGCGTTGGTGGTCTCGGAGAAACCTGCAGCTGTAACACTCTCTTGGTTTCTCTGGCAAGGTCCACTACTGCAACAGTCTGAACCTCACCAGTCACAGATTTACTCTGCCTCCCCACCCGGAATACCTTACCCAGCGTCTCCATGCGTGACGAACAGTTGCTACAGACAGCTGATCCTTGTTGCCTCCACCAAAAGTCCACAGCTTTCTTGACATTGAATGTTCTCCAAAATTGTTTCACAGTACTTCTTGCTCTGCCAACTGTTGTTCCTAAATGCGTCTTCGCTCTTGCTATCGATTGTCACTCAGGTTCATAACTCTTCCTTGGTGTTGGTGTGATGGATTTCAGGAGCTTAAATTTCTTGGCAGAGGGAACGCTTTTCACATTACAGATCAATTCTTGGTCCATGGGCTGTATTATAGGCGTAGTGTTGGGAAGGAAGACCACTTTTACGTTGGGGTGACGATCTAACAGTAGTAGTGTCCGCAATTAGTTGTCAAGCAACAACAAAATCTTGAAAGGAACATTGTGTTGCTCTGGGGAATTCTTAGCGTCCAGGAACAGAAACAGTCATCCAAACCAGGAGAGGGACAGAGTAGAGAACATCCCACGCCTTCACGTGCGGTCAGCCAATGGACATTCGGCTTGGTTTGTTGTCCATGCTCTTATAGGCGTGTGGATCACCCGATAACCCGGGCTTACAGGTACCGGAGGCATTGGTAGTAAACAGAGGGCGGTGATGTACTCGCCTGGCCACGACACTTGCTGAGTATTCTTCTGTGAAGGTCTTGGAGGTAGCTTTCCAAAAAGACCAGATTCGTCCATGTTAAACACCTGGTCATCGTTGTATTGTCCTTCCTCCATAATCTCTCATAAAAACGGAGGAAATTCCCTATACTTGCAACACGGTCAGCACTAGCTTCTTCCACCACCAATAATGTAATATTGGTGATCTTGTCACCTCTTCTTAAACCTCTGCAACCGCAGAGGAAGCATTAAAGGGTTTGGGCTCTGCAATTCACATCTTCACGTGACACTGCGGCTTGCAGTTCACGTCGTGCTCCTTAACTGAGTGCGTGTCCACCGCCATGTTCCGTCATGCACAATACGAACCAAGTAGCTCTAAGTAATTTTTCCGTCTTGAGAAGCACCTGGATTTGTGGCAGTACTTGATCATAGAAGCACCTGTGGGCTTTGTGATGTTCATGTGCTCCTTCGCTGTCTTGGCTGCATCCTTCTTAATTGTCCTGATAGTTGATTAGTTAACTTTTCATGCTGGCGCCGCGAGATCAACCTGTCTTGTTCCTTTCTCCAACTCTTGTATGAGTCTTGTACTTAATTTAAGTAGCAAGGCGTTGTATCTTCTTTGGCTTAGAGGCGGCTGGGTCCAGGTGATGCAAGGTTTCTTTGTGGTGGTGTTGAGGTCGGTGGAAGCCATTCTTATGGAACAATGAATGCGATATGCAGTGTGGCGGGAGGGTGTAACTGGCCAGCGGGTAGGTCAAGGGACTTGAGCGCTCCGTGGGGTTGCCGATCATAGTACATTAAACCAATCACAGCTGGCGGAAGGGAGGAAAGGATGCTTGGCCCATTCACAATCCCGTCGTCATATGACGTCACCCGATAGCAACAAGACATACACTGCGGCTTCTCTTTCGCCTACCCAACATAGGCGGGTGAGAGCCCGGGGAATGTGGATCCAAAATGGTAGCGAAGGACCCCCAACCGTTCCTCTCCGTAAAAAGGGTACACACACGCTTAAGTGAGCATTCCGTGTTAGACGGGTACGTAAAGTGAAACCCGCGTCGCGAGGTTTACTAGCATATTTTGACATATGCAATTTTAATTTTGTTAAAATTAGGCTCGCCTTTTGCTCATTAAATCGCTTATCTCAGAACTACATCCTTTATATAGAAATTTGGTGTTTCTAAATCAATCATTTAACAGAATTGACTTGAGGGTAGACTCACATATATAATACATTTGTGAGAGGATTTTCCAAATATTACTTATTTGTATTGTGTGTGTATCTACACACACACACACACACACACACACACAACAGGTAAAAGAAATTACCGTCTCTAGAACGAATGGCTCCCTGTCCCAGCCACGAAAATGCCAGCAACTTTAAAACTACCCTTAGACATTCTTGGGTACATCCAGGGTGTCATCCACGAATTGTCAGGGCATGCTGTATATACTTTTGTTATTGGTGCTTATATTCCTAAATTTTAAGTTTTAGTGTTACAGTGTACTGTAGAGTTAAAGTAACCTTTTGGGGTGAATCAAGTGATCTGAACAGAGTCTTCAAAGCCAGGTCCCAAGCATGCCAGATAAATAGTTCCTTACATGTATTTCATGAAGTATTCATAAATTCAATGGTTCACATTATTTCATTGCAGGACTAAACATTTGGAATACAGTACCTGTATACACATTTATCTGCTGATACTATCATTTTATACATATAACTATATTGTGCTTCTTTCTTTTCCAGTGCTCTTCAAAAGTCCTTCCCATTTGTTGATTCTTCTCGAACTGCTATTTGGGGTTGGTCATACGGAGGATATGTGACTGCATCAGCTCTGTCCAAAGATGTTAATAATATTTTCAAGTGTGGTATCTCTGTGGCACCTGTTACTTCATGGATTTATTATGGTATGGAATCAAAATTTTTTTACTGTATTACTAACTAGTGACCATCTAATTAATAACTGAAGCATCATCTAATAAAAACTATTTGTAAGAAAATTCTTAGTATTCCCTGATTTAACCCACTCTTCCAACATCTACAGATACAGTGTACACAGAAGAGGCGGGTCTACCAACTGCAAATGATAGTTATGCTGCATATGAATATTCTGATGTGACAAAGAATGTATCAAATTTTCGAAACAAAGAGTTCTTCCTTATACACGGAACCGCTGATGACAACGTCCACTACCAGCAGTCAATGATGCTGTCCCGAGCTTTAGAAGTTGAAGATATTCTGTTTAGATCTCAGGTTTGTTAAATCACTGGTGATGATTATATTTACTGTAGCTATGCAAACTGAGGAGTGAGAACAATCCTCAATTTAGGGATATTAGAAACAGCGCTCTTATTACAGTCACTGTATTTGATAATGAAAGAAAATGCACTTAAGGAATTTGGCCCAAAAAGAAAGTTTCCTTATTTCCATTGTGTTGTCAAAATTAACAAAATATGGATCTGATGTGTGTTTTCAACATGTCATGTGTTCATATGTAATATGAAGGAGGTAATTGGTAGGAAATGATTATACTACAGTACAGTGTTCCCATTTCAATTTTTTTTGGAAGATTACAAAATGGTGGGTAGACGTGATCATGATAAAATGATAAAGGGAATTTTGTTTAAGAAATCACACTTAGTATGTTTTATTGCTTACAGACAGCATGTCATCATCTTCGTTAAAAAAAAATTCTCATAAGGTGCCCCATTTAGTTAAGTGTAAATGCAACAGGAGGTTTTCTCCTGTTATTAGTTTATGAAAATTGTGATAATTTTCATATAAACTCCCTCATTATCTTATGATATATATGTGCCTGGTTGCTTATAGTGTAAAAAAATAAATAAAAATAAATAATCTTTCTTCTTATACTGTACATACTGTAGGTAGTTTGATTACAGTGCATTTATAATACAGCCTAGATCATAATGAGAAAAAGAAAAATCTTGATAGAATCTATCCTGTTCCATTTTATATACAAGATCATATCAGTTTTATAATATGAACAGATATCTGGTACTTAAAAAACTAACATACTGATTTAAAGTAAAATATAATATTTTTAATTTGTCCAATTTTATCTTTGAGTTTCTTTGAATTATCTAAAACATATCTTTTTTTATCAGCAAAAATTTGACATTAAGAAAAAGTTGCACTAAGTACAGTGGGGTATGCTATAACAAACGGATCCTACTATGAATATTCCTATAACGAACGGTTTTACCTATAAAATTGAGAATGCTATAACGAACGAAACTCCTACAACGAACATTATTTAAAAAAATTATTTTTTTTTTACTAATTTGTTTTTTTATTACAAGTATTAATGATATTCTTTATTTCAGGGGTTTAGATGCATATTTATGCACTTTTTTACATTATATTTTTCAGTGTTAAGTGGTTGTATTTGGGGGCTTGGAACGGATTAATCCTATAACGAACAAGGTTCTAGAACCAATTAGATTCGTTATAGCATACCCCGCATATACTTGTACAGTAACATATATAAAGCTCATAATTGTTTTCTTCTGACAGAGTTATCCAGATGAAAACCATGGCTTGGCAGGTGTAAAGAGACATCATTATCACTCCATGGAAGACTTCCTCAATGACTGCTTCAACAAAACCTAATTACTGATGGATCTGGTCATTATTGGATTACTATCTGTGAAACGTATTTTAAAGTTATCAGTGTCAACGTGTGTTGGGATCAGTGCTACAATAATGCCAATTTCACTATTGTATAGACTACTTAACTTGAAAGATGCTGTCATTATTTTTATCATAGAAATTTTATATGTTTTACAGTTTATTTATGAATTTATCACATTTTTGGCCCATGGAAAAAGTGTAACTTTTCTCAGTACCTCATTCAACTTGAGTATTATTACATTTAGAAATATGAGAAAATATTTGTAATCATTCTAATTACATTCCATTAATGCATATTAAGCATTCCAAATTGGATTTTAAGGCTATAAGAAGAGAATTCTACTTTAATATTATTTGTATCAGTAGAGTTTTTGTATGTAAATAGTAAAAACAACAGGAAGTAACTGCAGAATTTCTGTAGTGTATAGAATTTTACTGATAATTTACAGGTGAATATTCACACTAAAAAGCGAAATGTTTTTCACATCCTTTACTATGTTTGAGAAACAGGCAACTGTTTATATCACAGCTTACTGCCAATCAATAAGATGTTCACCTCATTTTATTATCAACTAAAATAGTCTTTCATCAACATGAAATTTATAAGTTTCCTATACTTAAATATTGTATAATATTTACAAATACAGACTAAGAAGTTTTTAAGCATTGATTAAAAAATTGCAGATATATTTTAGGAACACTGTTGCCCGAGTAAGTACAGGTAGTCCCATAAATAACATATACAAATAAAAAAATTTTAAGTATAAATTATGGGTTTTCCTCTTTTGCTCCCAACATGGCATGTTCATTTACCTTTACAGGTACAGTATCCCCCTATCTATGATATTCAGCTTTAGCAAGTGTGATGTTTTAAGACTATCCCCCTTTTATGATGTAAACAATCCACATGATCGATGAATATCATCCAGCTAAGGCATCTCTCGGTTCACTTGTCAGCTGCGGTCTACCCACATACTGACACGCAGTCACCCGCTGTACTACAGTACCAAGCTTTGTTCCATGTTGATTGCACAGGGCAATGATTATTGGTTAGTGAGAGGACATCACTAAAATTCTCATTGTATACTCTGTTTTGGTGACTGTGAGGTGTTTTGCCTCTGTTGTCAACTTGATGTGAAAATTGTCTGTCACAATAAAGTTGTCATAATTTGCTCTGTTTTTGTGACTGAAGTGAGCAGTGTAACTTTGAAAATGTTTGAGAAGGTCACGGTACCAAGGAAAACCATGTCTGGAGGTGAAGCTTAATATTTGTTAAGCGGCATAAAGCCCATTGTACACTGGATGTGATGCTAGCTACGCTTTGGATAGAAAGCCACATGGCTTTAAATTGCTTCTGTTGTTTTTCAATGAGGCTGTTCATACGGAGTGTAATGCTATGCAGCGGACGTTGCAGACATGGCCCACGTACAATCCTGGACTCTTCCACGTTGAACACCCAACCAGAGAAGTAGAATCGGCTAATGATCTGGTAACAGTGTGTGTGGGCTGGAGGGGAAAGGGGAGTACTGTACTTCAGTTGCATTTTGCATAATATAATCCTATATTTTGCACACACAGGAGAGATGGAAGAGGCGATTATGGTACAGGAATACATATTTACAATAGCATTACGCTGTTTGATTTATTGGGGTGTAATTGGTTATCTCTAATCTAAGGCTCCAAATCCAGAAAAGCACGTAACCTTTACCTCCCTTCATTACTGCTACCCTTCCTCAGGTAAGGACAGTATGGGAAAACAGGTGCCAGTCAATGATTGATGTCTACCAATTTCTTAGTTATAATTATTTTCCAAATCTGACATATAACTTTAAGCTGATACACATTTTTAGGTGATTCAGCTGCTCTTATATGCACATTATATTTCATGAAAACATTAATAGCGTATAATGAAACCATACGTTTCAACCTAGCCTCGCACCGGGTAAACCAAAACGACCTTTTTACACTTATCGTTTTAATATGGTGATTCTAGTGGTGTGGTGCTACGAAAGATACTGACAAGTAGTTGCCAATGACGTATAGGTGCGTAATGCTATCCTTTATAATGTTAGGAAGTTACCTTGTGGCTCTGAGCCATCTGTAGCACGCACAAACACCTTATCCTTTATTTTCACAAATAATGAAATTAATAATTACAAATGACTTTAAAAAGAACAAGTGTTTAATGATATAAATGCATCTGCCCCTGAATGGAGTACAATACAAAATAGTGAAAACAATGATAATTTGCTTGTTGATCACGAAACAAGTGTCAACAGCCAATCAAAACTCATCCGAGGTATTGTCGCGACCCTAGAATTCAACATAAAGCTCTTAGACTTCAAGATGAACCAGCGTGACACCCAGTTAGCTTTGAGAAGTCACACTGTGGGCTTACGAGAAGCTGGACTCTATCCGAACCATATCCCATAAGCTTGGAATATCAGCCACTACTGAAATCAAGTGGATTAGAAGATGGAACGAGTGGGGCAACCTGAATGACCTTGGTAAGTACTGATCAGACTGACATGTTATTGGTGATTATACAGACAATCAAATATATTTACCTTGTATAAAAAATTAGTGGCTTTTAATCCGCATTTTCTTTTTGACAGAGAGACATCCTCGGCCACGAGTGACTACTCCTGAAGAAGATGCAAGATCTGCGGCGGGACATGAGAGCTAGAACTGTCCGGAGGCAGCTTCATGAGGCCGGTATCCACCACAGGATTTTTGCCAAGAAGGACAACTGACAGAGGAACACTGTGCTGCCAGACTCGCCTTCGCTCATTGATATGCTGACCAGTCGCTGGAATTCTGGGATAGAGTTGTCTTCACAGACAAAAAGACCTTTGCATCGACCAATCATGGCAGAATATACCTGTGAAGGCGCAACAACACTAGGTAACAATAATACATCATTTTGTCCAGAGCACCAATTAACAAAAGCAATAAAACGCACTAATACAAAGGTTCGACCTTTTATGAATTCTTAAACTTATGGTAACATTTCAGGAACTGCTGCATGTAAATTATATGCAAAGGTTATAAATCAAGTAATCCTGCATTTTAGACCTGCTAAAACTACTAGTCCAATCCTACGATATAAATAAATAATACAGTGCTACCTCTACTCTCTCGGCAAGGCACACTTTGATAATAACTATGCGTATTTATTTGTGCAGCTGTATTCTAAATAAAATGCCAAATTGGAACCCATTAAGTTGCTAGTTATATATTAAGACAAAGTTGTCTGAAGATAATTAAAGTAAAGGTTTCCAGCAATGTTGATAGTTACCCAAATTGTAATGCTCATGACATTAACAGGGAAATTTTCTAACAGGTATGACCATGAGCATACAGTGTATTTACAAGGAGGTTCGTAGCGGACGCAGCACCTGTAATGTGTGGGACTATATGTCTGTCAATGGTATGTGGGACTTGGTTCAAATCGACGGGAGATTTACAACGCAGAAGTATCTGGACATTTTGGAGAATTTTTTCTTGCCCTCTCTGCAGGAAAGAAATTTCCCCTTCCCCCTGGACCTATTGTTTTCGTTCATGACTGGTGGCCCATACAGAGTTGTCCAGCAGTGGTTTGCTAACCGTAACAATTTGCAGCTGCTGGATTGGCCTAGTCAGGAGGCTGAGATGAACCCTTTGGAAAATTTATGGGCGAACATTGTGAACACTTGGGAGCCTGCGAGGGAAAGAACATCTGTAGAGCTGTTCGCCCACACCAGGAATAATGGGAGATATTTAGGGCCAAACATGATATCCTCCGCAACCTTGTTAGATCAATGCCCGAAAGACTTAATGCCGTTATCAACAAAGAAGGTGGGTGGACAGGATACTAAAGTGAAGAATTTACATCAGTGAAAACAAGCCTTTCCCTGAAGTCCAGTGCCTAATGCCAACAAACCAAGACAATTCTGCCGGCACGGTGTTCCTCGGTCGATGATTTCTGATGCCCAAGTCCAACCTCATATAGTCACTCAATAGGACAGCCTTTGTGAAAGCAAAAATCTAGCCACCTCTCCTGAGCTTCGCTTTCACTAAGTCGTCTCTCTTACTTCTGAATGAAAAATGTAATAAAAAATTTTATATTTTATTTTCTCATTAATAAGCGACTGTTTTATTTTCCGTTACAATAACAATCACTACTTGTTTCATTTCACGTAATAATACATCTTCCCATACTTTTTTTATTGCAATACTGTACAGTATTCCTATCCTCAAAAAATAAGTATTATGAGAATGGGTATTATAACTAAATATTTGGTCAACATCAACCATTGACTGGCACCTGTTCTACAATGCTATTCTTACTAAAAATTGGTGCGGGAAGGTTAGATTGCGTGTTTCTCTGGCCTCGAACTTTAGATTGAAATTGACCATTTACAGTGCAAAAATTGTAATACTACTGGAAAAAACATATTCATAAATTTAACAATCCCTTCTACTTCCATTATTTTATAATGTATGTACAGTAATACCCCGATTTATGATTTACGCGGTCAATTGAACCCGTGGAATAGCGCGTAAAACGAGAAACGCCGAAATGGAATAACAGAACATATGGGATTAATTGAAATATAGACTGGGCCGACTCCCAAACTCCACTTTTTCCGACATAATACCTACGTTGTAGTCAAAATAACATCTTAATTTTATGATGGTATGCACACACAGTTAATATTTAAGAGAAATACAGTCGCCAGGTTAATGTCCATTATTTAAGGACTCAACTCCCCCTCCCCCCTTCCCACGCTCGCTGGCTCCTCCCTCTCTGAGAAATGTTTGGGTGAAAACACTAGATTTTAAGGTATAGTAATAAATAATACCTCAGACTAAAGTTAGGATAATATAATTGACATTGCTGGATTCCTTGCAAGGCCAGGAATATTTTGAATATAAACGTCATATATTTTGCACAAAAGATAAAATTTTGGCTTTGTAATAAAAATTCTTAAATTAGATCTAAAATTTGTATGTCTAATGCAAATTCCATGATGTTTATATTTAAAATAATCAAAATCTTATAAGAATTCCAGCAATGTAAATTATATTCTGGCCGGGTAATTTGTATGAATTTTATGAGTTAAAACAAATATCTTCAGTAAATATACAAATTATTATTCACCCAGACACTATCTGTCAATCAAAATACCCCACCTCAGCTCCCTCCCCCCCTCTTCCCACGCTCGCTGGGTCCTTATTTTCCTCCCTAACCCCCACCCCCCACCTTCCCTCCCTACCAGAGAAATGTTTGGGAGAAAACAGTATATTTATATTTTTAGTAATAAATAATACCTCAGACTAAAGTTAGGATAATATAATTGACATTTCTGGATTCCTTGCAGGTCAGGGAATATTTTGAATGTAAACTTCATATATTTTGCACAAAAGATAAAATATTTGCTTATTTTCATGATCTCCTTAAATTACATCTAAAATTTGTACAGTGGTCCCTCGGTTAACAAGCACAATCCGTTCCAGCAGGTTGCTCGTTAACCGAAAATCTCGTTAACCGAAACCATTGTTTCAATGGGTTTTTGGGTAATTGCCTAAATTCAACAAAAAAGGTAGAAAAGTTGACTTACTTTGAGGTGTGTATGTAGAAGGCTCCTGGATGATGATGATGATGATGTGAATTTGAAGTGGGAGGTGGAGGAGGAGAAGAGAAGGAAGTGGAGGAGAAGCATTTTACTGCTTCTTGGAAGATGAGTCACCTTCCATGAAAATGTCAGGAACCTCTGGACTGACAGATTCTCCACCATGAACATCCTCTCTCCTTCTTGAAGTGGAAGGCTGAGGGATAGCATCTTGTTCCCTCTGCCTTTTACTGAAGAAAGTGTCAATTGTGGTCTGTGGGGCATCTCTCCTCCTCATCATTAACTTATGTTTAAAGAAGGAGACCACCGAGTCCTCAACATGACACAAAGTTAGTTCAGTTTTTTCCACATCTGGGTGCTTTGAAGACAGTTCCCTGAACTTCTCCCAGTAGTAAATCACATCTTTCAACTGTTTAGCTGACATATGGTCATCAATTTCAATTTCCTCCTCACCACTGTCAGCCTCTACCTGAAACATCTCATCCAGTTGCTTCAAGTCATCAGGAGTAAGTTCCTCCTCATGAGACATCACAAGCTCTTCCACATCCTCCTCCTCCACTTCAAGGCCCAATGACTGACCAATGGACACAATCTCCTGGTCCAACTCTGTTTCTCAAATCCCTCAAAATCATGGACTACTGATGGCCACAGTGCTTTCCATGAAGAATTGAGGGATCTAGTGGAGACTTCTTGCCATGATGACACAATCAATTTTACAGCCTCCAGGATGTTGAATTGTGTCTTCCAGAACTGTTTCAGTGTTAGTTCAGGATCATTGGAAGTTGCCTGATGACACCACCTAAACATTTTCTTCATGTACAACTTCTTGAAGTTGCTGATCACATTCTGGTCCATTGGCTGTATGATTGATGTAGTGTTTGGAGGCAAAAACAACACTTTCACAAAGTCAAATTGATACTCCAAATTTCTGGCAAGTTCAGGGTCATGACGAGGAGCATTATCCATGAGAAGAGCCTTTAAAGGGAGGTTATTGGTGGTTAGGTAGCTCTTGACAGAAGGGCAAAACACATCAACAGCCCATTCATTAAAGAGCTGTCTTGTCACCCATGCCTTACGGTTGCACTTCCAATAAACTCCAAGCTTTGTTCTTACCACTTTCTGTTGCTTGAACACCCTGGGGTTTTCAGAGTGGTAGACAAGCATAGGCTTCAGTCGGAAATCCCCTGAAGCATTGGCACCAAGCAATAGAGTGAGATGGTCTTTCATGGGTTTATGCCCAGGTAAAGAGACTTCATATCTGGTGATGAATGTTCTTTTGGGCATCTTTTTCCAGAACAGCCCAGTATTGAACACTTGTGGAAGATAATTTTCTTCTTCCATCAGTTCTTTAATTCATCTAAAAACTTTGCTGCCCCTTCCTTATCAGCACTAGCAGCTTCACCATGCCTAACACTGAAAATGTCACTTCTTTTCTTAAATTTTTCGAACCAGCCTTTCCTGGCCCAAAAATCTTCAAATTCTGTGCCTGAAGAACCAGGTTGATCTGTCTTTAAATGTTCGTAAATCTCCCTGGCTCTTTCACAAATGAATTCAGTAGAAACTGAATCACCTTTCATCTGTTTTTCCCTAATCCAGATGAGAAGTAGCATCTCAGTTTCTGCAATTAGGGATCTACTTTTAAACACTCTTGTAGATTTGTCTCACTTTCACTTCTTTAAATTTATCTTTCTGTGCAAGAATTGTCGACATGCCATATTCGTTGCATAGTGCATTTGTTCTAATGCCTTGTTCATGTTTTTTTATGATTTCCTGCTTGGTTTGGATTGAAATCGCTTTTCTTGATCTCTTAGGCCCCATGCTGGATTCAAACAATGTCAACACGTGTTTTTTAAAGTTACACTTGTTGTAAATAAAGAATATTTTCTTTAAAATAACACTGCACTGTGCTATATATTGTCAATATGTAAAATAAATTTCAAAATGACCAATAATTTGCTTGGAAACACAGAAAAAAAGCATTTAGTTGAAGAGAGTCTCAAGCAAGATGTTACCTCCACTGAAAACAGAGAGACTAACACTTGTTTGCTGTGTTAAGAGGCTGGATGGCGCCCATTAAACTAGTCACATTACCTTCAATTATGTTCAATAATTGTTAAAATTACTAAAAAATTTAATATTAAACTTTTAAAATTATTGAATAGTATAAACTTCTTGATACTTAATAAAATAGTAAGGAATTTAAGCCCTAGAACCGATTAGTGTATTGGCGGACTAATACTAAAGCTGGTTGACCGCCAAGTGCAAGCCAAAACTTGTTGAGGTCGGCTCGTAAGAAACTCGTTAACCGAGGGATTGCTCGTTAACCGAAGTTAAGACTCTTATGGGAGGTAACTCGTTCACCGAAATCTCGTTAACCGAGGCGCTCGTTAACCGAGAGACCACTGTATGTCTAACGCAAATGTTAAGATGTTTATATTTAAAATGTTCACCATCTTGTAAGGATTCCAGCAATGTAAATTATATATTTTATGAGCTAAAACATATATATCTTCAGTAAATAAACAAATTATACTTCACCCGCATAAATGAGTAAATTCACCAAGTAAATCGGGCATCCCGGTTCTGGCAAGGTACAGCGTAAATGACCAAACGCGTAAACAAGAACCGCGTAAATCAAGGTTCAACTGTAATAAAATATGATTGTACAGTGATCCTTCGGTTAACGAGCGTCTCGGTTAACGAAATTTCGGTTAACGAATTACCTAACATAAGATTCTTAACTTCGGTTAACGAGTTTTCCCTCAATTAACAAATTCCTTACGAGCGCCCCTCAACATGTTTTCGCTTGCACACTAGCCGTCATATTAGTCCGCCAATACAGTAATCGGTTCTAGGGCTTAAATTCTGTACTATTTTAGTAAATATAAAGAAGTTTGTACTATTCAATAATTTTAAGTCTTATATTAAAATTTTTAGTAATTTTAACAATCATTTAACGTAATTTAAGTACAGGGAAACTATTTTTTAGCGCGCCAAACAGCCTGTCAACACACCATACATGCGTCAGTCTCTGTGTCTTTTCGGTGGAGGTATCATCTTGCTTCAGACTCTCTTCAACATAAATGCTTTTTTTCTGTGTTTCCAGTCAAATTGTTAAGTTTTAAATGCAGGAAAGTGGTTTTCTTACCGTAGAACTCAGATGCCTTCACACTGGTCACTCGCCCAGGAGATTATGGTGTATCACTACGTAGAATTTCACTCTGCTTCCGGCATTCAATGCGTTGTGTACTTGATAAATGATGATTTAACGAATTCCATTAATTTCCAACATCCATCTAAGTTATTGGTTATACTTTGTCATAACCAAATAATCATTACCTTTGGTAATGATAATAATAGAGGGATCACAGATACGGGCAGATCATTGCACTTACGTTTATTTGGCACAATTCCATACACTGGACTTATAATTTGCATGGATAGGTCAGTCACTCACATTCACGCCACAGTACCGTAAGTTATAAGGGAGAGTTTGTCAACCTGGAGAATTAATCGTTAGACCTATTAGGCCGGCCTGGAGTGCTCTTGTAGCAACAGGCCCTCACCATTGATCACTTCCTTTACAGGATGTGTTAACTTGTCGCTGGACTTAACAACAATCTCGGGGATTTGCACACACAGACTCGTAGCACTGGTAGGACTGTATGACCCCTGTTCTAAATCCGCGGAGCAGGAGGTCTTCTATAACCCAAGGTCTAAAGCCCACTGGCTAAAATGTGGTTTTGAGGCGTGAGATGACCCCTATTGGCTGGCCGGTTACCTTATCTCTACCTAAACAAACATTTGGGATGGGTTGTGCGGGAGGTCCAGCGCAACCCATGACACAAATTATTGGTCGTTTTGAAATTTATTTTACATATTGACAATATATAATGCAGTGCAGTGTTGATTTAAAGAAAATAATCTTGAATTACACCGTGAACTAAAATTTTATGGGTGAAATGGCGCCATGGGGTGACTTCTCTTCTACCCCAATGCCTCCTCTTCTCCCTTCTCCTCCACCCCCAATCTAATTCCCATCATCATCATCCAGGAGCCTTCTACATACACACCTCAAAGTAAGTGTAATTTACTACCTTTTTTGTTGACTTTAGGCAATTTTCGGTGAGCTGGAACCAATTACCCAAAAACCCATTGAAACAATGGTTTCGGTTAACAAGCAACCTTCTAGAACGAATTGTGCTCGTTAACCGAGGGACCACTGAACAGTACAGTATTATGCAACACGCAACTCAAGAACTCCCCCATCTTTCCCCCAACCCAAACCCTACCACCCCCGCTCACACACACTGTTACTAGATTGTCAGCTGATTCTACCTCTGGTCGTCTGGCTGGCTGCTCAACGTGGAAGAGCCTGCGACTACCTTCCCAGATTGCCGCCTCCGCAATTTTTCTCGACGTGGCTTCCATCAAGCATGCGCTCATGAGCGTTTTGGGAGTTTGCTGCCACAGTCTGCCAGTTGCATTTGCCATTGTGGGACTGACAGGTGAGGGATATAACAGCGAGTGCCCTGCTTACATGGAAGAATGGAGCAGTTTATTGAATAAGTAAGGAAATATCCATGCTTATATATGACATGGCTTCAGAAAGTTACAGGGACGTGTCATGGAAGGACTACTGCTGGGAAGAGATTTCTAAAACCCTGGACCGTGATTGTAAGAAATTTATTGATGAAAAACATATAATTATCATGTGATTCCAATGATTTCACAAACTTAACCCTTATCTGTGTATCACATAAACAAAATTTATGTAGGCCTATTCCAAATACTGTATAACAACAAACATCAAGGCTCTATTCACACTATAAGGACGGTCACGGTCCTAGGGTATTCACATGCACGGTCTATTCAAGGGAGGATCTCACTCCAGTCATGGGCCATCCCGTGTCCCTCAGTTGTGGCCAGACCATTGTTGAGGGAAGATGTGTGAATTCTCTTCATCAGAGTTGGCAATGATCGCAATTACATTGGACGAAGAGGAAGAAGAAAGAAAAAGAGCAAAATTGGAAAGGGAAGATATTTTGGTTTCATTCGATGTAAGATAGGAAGAGTGAGAGGAATTTCATACTCTATCCTCATTTGATTGATGATGAAAGTAAATTCTTTCAGTACTTTCGTATGAACATTGGCAGTTTTGAGATGATTTTGTCAAAAATTGAAGAGGAATTATGTAATGAAAACAACCTTTAGAGAAGCCCTCACTCCAAGAGAAAAGCTGGCAGTATGTCTTGGTTAAGATACAGATTGAATTGCATTATTGAAATTGAAATTGGGTATAAGGCCAAGAGGCCATTTTCTGCTTGCCTTTGTGTTCGGGATGGCAGGTAATGCATATATTTAATGATTATAATACTTATCTCTTATAAATAATTAATTTAGAATTTAATTTATTTGTATTAATTTTCATAAAAAAAGCTCGGCAACACACACGCAGTCTGTCGCCAGGCTGTCTGGGGCTTTAAGAGAGAAGGTAACGCATAAAAATAATTATCGGAATAAAAATTCCACAATTAATACATTTATAACAATCATAGCATTATTTTCCAGTAATACCTGTACTACACTACAATACAACTACACTACTTTTAGCAATATTACTTTGATACATGATAAAATGGACAAATAATGAAAATAAAACAAACAAAAGTAGTTACTTACATTCCAGAAGCTTCCTTGTGGCCGAGCATGAAGTGAGGAGTGGTGCATAAAGGGGGGGGGGGGGCAATGGTGTTTCCCTGACGCCTCGCTCGCTGTCTGCACTCATGGGTACGGTAGTGGTGAGTGAATGCGCACAACTTTGTACCTTTTACACAAATAAATCACTTTGTACCTTACAAATACACTTATCCACTACACTTACACTATTTTTATCATCATTTCTTTATAACACTACTATTTACAAGCACTTCTCACGTTCCACATTGTTTTAGAAGGTTTTCTTTGTGTGGTACTCCACAAAACAAAGTTTACACAGACCCACATCGCACTCCCTGCACCAAGTTGTCACGTCCTTCCGTTTAGATGGGCGCTTGGTGGTATTCTTGCATACGTAACACCGCCTTTGCACCTTACGACCACTTGGATCACTCGGAAGGTCGTCAAGGTAGTGACGAGCAACCCAGTCAAGTGCAAGGAGTCGGTCTGGGAGTCCTGTTTGGCTGTGGCGTCGTGGTACAGCAGGCACAACGTCACCATACTTTTCTAGGATTTGAGATATCACTTGTTTCTGAAAAACCCTGAGAGATGATTTTTTTCTGGTTTTTACAAGGTACAATTTGTACGCATTCAGGATGGTAATGTCCATGAGCTGTAGGAACATCTTCTTATACCATTTGACACATTTCCTTACACACTCAAGTGCGCCAACCTGCATATCACTCTTGTCCACGAGGCGCATGTTCACATTGTAGTCCACGACAGCTTCGGGTTTTTTCACTACCTCTCCTGTTGCCCTGTCCCTTTTCCCACTGTCCACCATTTTGCCCTTGTGCATGGTTGACATCATCTGGACAGTACGCTTATCATGCCAGCGTATTGCTAGCATCTTGTCTGCGTGCTTCAGCTGGACCTCTCCTCGTGCAGGTTTACCAGTAAACACGGGCCAGTGTTTCCTGTTCTTGCATACAGTTCCACAAGAACCAGTGTCATGTTCAAGTAGGAATTTGGACAGGGCAGGAGAGGTATAGTAATTGTCCGTGTAGAGGACGTGATTCCCTCCAAAGTAGCGGTCCATAAGTTTCTTGACGACAGCTCCAGAGAAACCATGTGGGTCGTCTCTGGGTATGTCTGCGTCACTTGCTGTGTAAACTACGAGATCTAAGACATACCCAGACTCGCAGTCACACAGCACGAAGAACTTTGTCCCAAAGCGATGCCGTTTGGATGGAATGTATTGTCTAAAAGCAAAACGTCCTCTGAAAAGCACCAGAAACTCATCCACCACTACATTCTGGAAGGGTCTGAAGAACTTCATGAATCTTTCCTTCAGCATTGTAAATACTGTCCTTATCTTCCAGAGTTGGTCACCAACCACAGGGTAGTTGTTGTCTGTGAAGTGAAGATAACGTAGGATGGAGGCAAACCGGTCTCTTGCCATGAATTTAATGAACACTGGAGTTGCTGTTATGTCATCAGGAGATATCCAGTACTCCCGAAGTACGTGTTTCTTTACGTGGACCATTAGCATGAGTAATGCAAAAAACACGTACAGTTCTGACACAACAACATCAGTCCAGCGTCGCATGTGTGGCCAGAGGTCAGGGCTGGCGTCATTATAATGTGTGTACTGATAAAATTTGTTTGTTTCAGTACACAAAAAATCCATGAATGCACCGTCAAAGAAAGCACAAAAGTAGTCCAGTTCACTAGATTCCTCCGTACATGGAAATTCAGGAGTAATTCCACCTGATGATTGTCTGAAATCAGGACTGTCAGGCTGGAAATTACTGCCATCAGACCAGACAAGCGCATCCATTGTCCCTTGCCTTGGCCATGAGCGAGATGCGGGCACACGCCGTCCTCCACGTGCCCTGCTTCCTGCCTCCTCGCCACCACTATCACTTTCTTCACTTATCCCCACCACATCCTCCAACTCCACACTATCATCATGATCACTTGGCTCATAATCACTGCCTTCATCACCACTGTCACCAGAATCGCACACTACAGCACTCGAATCTGATAGTTCTTGACGTATCTCGCAATCATCCAGTCCGCTGTGGCGGCGCTTGATGGTACTGGACAAAGTTGTCACACACTCTAATGAGTAAAAGGACAAACTTGCAATAAAAAGGGATAATATATACAGTCATCCCTTGGTTATAGCGCACTTGGATATCGCGATTTTCCCTATCACGCCTCCATCAAAATCTGCACAAAACTGCTGTTATAGCACATTTTTCAAGCCGAGAATTTCGTTATCACGCAGTTGCCTCCAGGTGTTTTTACCCATCTACTGAGGATAAAATCTTTCACCTACAAATTGACAATAACACATTTGCTATAATCAGACATATCTTAGTTGCCTCAACAATTGCAACCCCAGTTGCAATTTCAAATTTTGTGTCATTACTAAGGAATAGCGAAGTCTCGGTGCACTCTAAGATTGAGAGAAAACGGAGGACTCAGGCATCCTGAAGCAATGAGAAAACGGACTCCTCAGACGAGGGACGCAAATAAAGAAAGCATAGCTACAGGTTTTGTGGACTATAGTATTGAACGTACCCTTTTCATCACTTTGTAATAAACCTAACCATGCCTATGTGTTTTTTTGATGCTTACCATAACATTATCTATATATTTAGTGGGTCTAAATCAGTGGTGTCAAACTCAATACCGTTTGAGGGCCAATTCTTATTTTAGTTACCCTCTTCAGGGCCAACACAAGTGCTATATCACATATTTGCAGGATTGAAGTTTACAGCTTCACACATTGCCTTACCTGGCTTACCAGGAATAACTCATTTGGTTTTGTCTGACCTTAAGTGTGTAAAATTTATTTTACTAAATAAACATGATTATATCTATTTCTTTCATAATTTCACGGGATGATAAATTTTACCGTCATCCCGCAGGCCACACCTGGTCATCCCAAGGGCCACATTTGGCCCGTGGGCCATGAGTTTGACACCCCTGGTCTAAATGGTCGTAAAATGGGAAAATTGGGGTTGGGTCTTGGGTGCCTGGAACCAATTAGAATAAATCCCATAGGTTCTGTATTTTCGTTATCGCATTTTTCGTTATCACGTACTGTGCGCAGTCCCAATTAGGCGTGATAACCAAGGGATAACACGCGGTAGTGTTCCCTGGTCACACCAACCAGCTCTCTCTACATCACGCTTGTAACCACGCTGCCACTTCCCAGCACCAAGCTGCACTGTACATCCAATACAATATGTATACAGAGAGCACATTGTGAGTTTCCTTTCTCCATCCCATCCTGAGTGCGTACCAAATATCACGTACCCCACAGTATATACAGTATACTAATCGGTATGAATTATCTCTTGAATTGGGTGCAAGTATTCTTGGGTACGAGTTTCTTAGGTAAGAGTTGCGTGGGTACGAATTAACTTTTTTGAGTACGATTTATTTTGAGTACGAGACGACCCTAACACGGCTCTTGACGGGGATGGAAGATGCGGGAGGCCAATGTGTACTAACCAGAGTCTGGTTACCAAACTGAGTGATTGAGCGGCTCAGAATGCAGCCACGCTACCCTACGTGTGGCGTGACACACAAATAGTCGTGCTGGAACCTGGTAACCTGCGCTGGGCATTCAAACAATGCCGCGAAAAGGCGCACGTTCAGGAATGTCAACCGGGACGCCCTACATGATCGTTCCAGAACGACAACTGGGGCGTAGGGGTTAAAGACTAAAACGAATAAAAAATAAAAAACATTATTAATACGCCTGTAATCATCTCACTTAAACAATATGCGAAAGACTAAAATTAAAAGAATTAAAACATTGTTATTACTCATGCAAGCTTGGAAGAAGACACTTGACAATTTTTTAGGAAATTAGGTGATAATTTTACTTCATATTCATCCCACATCATCCAGAGATGTACTTGTTTGTCATGATTTGCTTTTCTTGTACACGATCTCAGCTTGTGCTCAGCAACTAGTTGTAATTGCAAATCACTGAAGAAGAAATCACCTTCATTTGTTCAGCATTTTCTTTATTTATCAATGTTTTAATTGTTTTCTTTACTTAATATTCATGTATAATAATAACACAATAATTCCCGAGTCGTCTGTATACATGTGCAATTTCTATTCGCGTAATATAATAACTTACAATTTGTCACGCTAATACCAGCGACTAATGATCTGTTAGTGACGAAATGGGGTGTATTCGTCACCAAACCTATAGGAGACCAGTCAGTTATAAATTACTGTACAGCAGTAATCCACTACAAAGTTATTACTCAATCATAACACACTCGCATTTTTTGCAACACGTAAAGTATCACTAAATTACCACTTGTTGAATTATTCCAAGTTGACTGTGCTGTGCTACGTGCCCGTTTCGCTGGGCGTGAGGTGCCACAGGACATAGTAGACCTGGAGTCATGTGTCTCCTCCGAGGACGACCTTCCATCATTGTAAGGTTGGTAATCTATGTCAGAGGAGTTCAAAGATTCACCAGACGAAGAACTACTGGTAAGCAACATAGCGTTGATCTGGTTTTCAAACATAGATCTTTGTCTGCGACTGCACGCCATTCCGCAAACATTTGGCACCCTTTAATGAAATAAAGAAGACAATGGAACTAAAACAGCGGGTAGCACAGCACAGACCGCGCTTCTTAACCATTGAACCAATAAATATTGTCCTGGCTCAGCAGCACAGCGGCATGATGATGTTTGTGTTGTTAACTGTTTACCCAGCAGCAGCTGGAGCACCCGGCAGCTGGAGTGCGGGTATGTTTTAAAATTTAAATGTGTATGATGTGTCCCCCATTGTACTCACCAGCCACCACTATTGTTATAAAATAGGCTGTATATGCGAAGTAACAAACATAATAACCTCACATGCCAAGTGTTAACGCTGTTATATGAATTAAGTCACACGTGAAGCATTTACAGCTTCACACACTACCATGCAGCACGTGTTGTCAACTGTCAGCCCCTAATAAACCTCAGAGTGATCACCAGTCATCACATTGCAGTTGCTAAAAGGTTTCTGTATTTAAGGTAATATTTCATATAATGGCATTGTAAGACACTGGCGGAAGGTATAGGTTACATGTCGTGTATCTTCCTAATATATGTGAGATTTAGATTTACGGACTATGACACATTTGGTAAAGGTGCAGAAGAGGGTGACCACTGAAGGAATTGTCCGAATTGGTTGAATTTTTTTCTACAAACTTATGATGTTAAACACAAAAATGGAAACGACATTGCATGGAACCTAATACTGTACTTATTGTTTTTCTCCAAAAGGACAGACCAAGGATTTTGTCTTTGGACAGACTCGGAGACAAGCTTGCCATCTTGTATTTTAGGAAAGGAGTATTGGCGTCCTGTGTAAGTGTTCAAAATGCATCAGAGAACTGACAGTGAAGAAGAAAAACTTATTTAACCGATTAACCGATGGCAGAGGAAATTGATTCTCTCCCTGTTTGTGTGTGGTTTCAGTTTTTAGGTCATGAGCAAGCTATAAAGCGAATGAATACTGATACTGTATATTAAATTTTTGCATATGCGTAAATCTCCCAAGAGATTTGAACAGTCCTCTAATTGATCAAGTGGCTAACAAGCCGACAAGCGGTGAGGGGGATAACAGAAAGCAAATCATGTGAGGTTCATGTGAAAGAGATTTGAATATATAATATTCCGTGAAAATGTGTTTAGGAAACTTAAAATCTGTCAATATTGTTGTGACTAGGTTGTGCCCAAAATCTCCTCCACTAAATGTAAACATGTTTTGCAGTGGCATTGGAAACACCGCTTCTTGTCCGGTCAGCAAAGTTAAGCAACGTTGGGTCTAGTTAGGACTTGGATGGGTGACTGCCTGGCCCTAAGAACACCAGATGCTGCTGGCATAAGCACTCTACTGGAAACAAGTATCTCATGGCTTTGACAACTGTCCTTGATCAAATTGGTTGAATATCAATCATTATTAGCAAATAAGGTAAGAATTTTGTTGAAATAGGTTATAATATAGGTTAAGAAGGTTTCGGTTGGGGTTTTTGTGTATGTTTTAACCCCACATTTTTCCTCATTTTCAAAGCCCAGCCCACTTTGGAAGGATTCATTGTCATAACTTGTGTTAAAGAGGTCATATCATTAAATATGCATTAACCCTCAAAGTAATGGTCAAAATGCTAAGATCACAAAATAACACCATTTTAGTACTGTAAGAGCTACTGTACAAATTCTTTACCTGACATTTTACCACGGAAGAACTGAGCATTTTTATAAATATTTCCTTCATCAACACTCAAATACACTTGGGACATCCACGTCACTGATAATGTTTATTTATGTCTGATGTGTATTGATCAGGAAGTCCAGAAATATTCATTAACAAAATGAATTAATTTAAACTACTAGACCTAACCTAACATAACCGAAAATAATAAAATTTTCATCTATATCATGTGTACAAAAAATCCTGTCTGATGAAAGGAACCATTCACACAGCTCGAACAAACCAGCTACTGTGACAATAAATAATTGCTCATTCATAAAATTACCCAATCAAACCTATCAGACCAAATGTAACTGCAAAAATCTATTTAAGCCTAATCTACAAAACCTGACTTAGTCTAACTAAACCTAAAATAATAGTCATCTTTTATCCTTTTCTTAGAAAAAATTATGACTGAAATGAGAAATATTTTCCTTGTGTACTTTAGGTATCTTCTATATACGTAGTGAAATATCTCAAACTTGGTGGTTGAGGAGAGCATGATGTCTTTAGAAACACTGTACAGAATGCAGTACCTATTTTTGTATAGAAGATAAATGCTTTCTTACCTCATAAAAATTTCATAAAATGACAAGGATTTGCAATTTGCACATACTATTATTATTATTATTATTATTGTTGTTGCCTTTTTTTTTAGACCTGAGCATTAATACAGTACAGTACAGTGGTCCCTCGGTTAACGAGCACAATTCGTTCTAGAAGGTAGCTCGTTAACCGAAAAATTCGTTAACCGAAACCATTGTTTCAATGGGTTTTTGGGTATTTGGTTCCAGCTCACCGAAAATTGCCTAAAGTCAACAAAAAAGGAAGTAAAGTACACTTACTTTGAGGTGTGTATGTAGAAGGCTCCTGGATGATGATGATGATGATGGGAATTAGAATGGGGGTGGAGGAGAAGGGAGAAGAGAAGGCATTGGGGTGGAAGAGAAGTCACCCCATGGTGCCATTTCACCCATAAAATTTTAGTTCACTTGGTGTAATTCAAGATTATTTTCTTTAAATCAACACTGCACTGCATTATACAGTATATTGTCAATATGTAAAATATATATCAAAATGACCAATAATTTGCTTGGAAACACAGAAAAAAGTGTTTATGTTGAAGAGAGTCTGAAGCAAGATGTTACCTCCACTGAACAGACACAGACTGACGCCTGTATGGTGTGTTGACAGGCTGTTTGGTGTGCAAAAAACTAGCTTCCTATACTTCAATTATGTTCAATAATTGTTAAAATTACTAAAAAATTTAATATAAAACTTTTAAAATGGTTGAATAATACAAACTTCTTGATATTTATTAAAATAGCGAGGAATTTAAGCCCTAGAACTGATTATTGTATTGGCGGACTAATACTACAGCTGGTGGGCCGCCAAATGCAAGCGAAAACATGTTGAGGGGCGCTCGTAAGGAATTCGTTAATCGAGGGATTGCTCGTTAACCGAAGTTAAGAATCTTATGGAAGGTAATTAGTTCACCGAAATCTCGTTAACCGAGGCGCTCACTGTATACTGTACTGTACTGTGCTGTACTGTGCATAGATGCGCTACCTCCTGGTGACACCATTTCAATTTTTACATGCTAAGCGCTTTTTTTTTTCATACGGTTCCATACACGTGAACAACAGTAACTTTGGACATTTTTTGTCTAGATGATAACTTTCCTACTAAATTTCATATACAGTACTTTAGTTTGGTTCCTTTCAATAAGTGGCGAGGATTCATAAATTTCATACTATTGTGACGATTTTCTCCTGAACAGTGCTTCATATACTAGAACACTTCCACAGAGGAACAACTTACTAGCTGCTGTACTGCTTTATTTTCTGATTTATTGGAGATAAAATGAACCGACCCAATCTACCTTACATAACTTATTTAACAAATGCTAATCTATATAGCCTAACCTAGAATAAGTAGGGTTTTTTTATTAACGGGGATTAGCCCACCTGGGCACAGGTCACTGACCCACATCAGGGCCTGGGGGTGAAAATGTAATAATAATAATAATAATAATAATAATAATAAAGAACCATAAGAAATACAAAAATGAAAAAAAGATCAAGAGTGAGAAACAATACAGCTGCTCCTCGACTTACGACGGGGTTAGGGACCCAAATCCAGGTCGTAAGTCGAAAATGCTTAAATAATACATAGAAAATCTGAAATGGGTGTTTCTTTTTCTTCTCAGCACCACAAAACTCTCACTTTTACGCTTGCCAGCCATTTTAAAGTGAATTACAAATGAAAATTTTGTCAGTACACAGCGCAATCACTAATGTCAGGACTCGAAAATACGTACTTTGACAAAATTTTGGTACGACTGAGGCGGTTGTATGTCCGGGTGGTCGTAAGTCGAGTAGGTCGTAAGTTGAGGAGTAGCTATATATGTACAGGGGTATGTTGTGTTGTCAGAGTAAGAGAAACAATTGAGACCCTGCAATTGTGTGTAAATAGGCAGAAAGTCAGATCAGCAACCTGGGACTTGATCACAATTTTCGTGATGCCATATGGCAGCAGGGTCTACCATTAGACAACACATTGTGCTTTCAATATCTTCCCAGGCGGTAGTACCTCCCTGTTTGGTAGCTGCCTCCTACCTGCTTATCTTAATTCATTGAATCATATAAAGTAATAGTAAGCTAATGAGCCAATCTGTAGCGAAGAGGATAAAAGTAAGAAAAGGTAAGTTTTGGAAGTGTTCTTGTGGATTAAATGAAACAGTACAGGGCTGCCTCACTTATCGCAAAGGTTACGGGCATGAAACTTTGCAAATATCAAAATTGCGAATAGCGGAGCAATTTCTCCCATAAGAAATAATGTAAATAGAAGGGATACGGGTGGTCGCGGCCGTCAGAGTTTAACACTTGTTTTACTCAATACATTTTGAACATCAAATTAATAAAGAAACAAGGGCATATTATCAAATAAACATCAATAACAAACACTTTGAGTTTATTAGGTGTATACCCCCTGTATGTTTACAAGTACAGTACAGTGGTCCCTCGGTTAACAAGCACAATTCGTTCCAGAAGGTTGCTCGTTAACCGAAATCATTGTTTCAATGGGTTTTTGGGTAATTGGTTCCAGCTCACGAAAATTGCCTAAAGTCAACAAAAAAGGTAGTAAAGTACACTTACTTTGAGGTGTGTATGTAGAAGACTCCTGGATGATGATGCTGATGTGAATTTGAAGTGGGAGGTGCAGGAGGAGAAGGGAGAAGAGAAGGAAGTGGAGGTGGAGGAGAAGCATTTTACTGCTTCTTTGAAGCAGTCACCTTCCATGAAAATGTCAGGAACCTCTGGACTGACAGATTCTCCACCAGGAACATCCTCTCTCCTTCTTGAAGTGGAAGGCTGAGGGCTAGCATCTTGTTCCCGCTGCCTTTTACTGAAGAAACTGTCAATTTTTGTCTGTGGGGCATCTCTCCTCCTCATCATTAACTGATGTTTGAAGAAGGAGACCACTGTGTCCTCAACATGACGCAAAGCTAGTTCAGACTTTTCCACATCTGGGTGCCTTGAAGCCAGTTTCCTGAACTTCTCCCAGTGGTGTACAACATCTTTCAACTCTGAAGTTGACATATGGTCATCACTTTCTGATTTCTCCACCACAGTCAGCCTCTAACATTTCATCCAGTTGCTGCAAGTCACCTGGAGTAAGTTCCTGTTCATGAGACATCACAAGCTCTTCGACATCTTCCTCCTCCACTTCAAGGCCCAATGACTGACCAATGGACACAATCTCCAGGATGTTAAACTGTGTCTTCCAGAACTGTGCCAGTGTTAGTTAAGGATCAGTGGAAGTTGCCTCATGACACCTCCTGAACATTTTCTTCATGTACAACTTCTTGAAGTTGCTGATCACATTCTGGTCCATTGGCTGTATGATTGATGTAGTGTTGGGAGGCAAAAACAACACTTTGACAAAGTCAAATTGAGACTCCAAAGTTCTGGCAAGTTGAGGGTCATGACCAGGGGCCCATTCATTAAAGAGCTGTCTTGTTACCCATGCCTTATGGTTGGATTTCCAATAAACTCCAAGCCGTCCTCTTACCACTTTCTGTTGCTTGAACACCCTGGGGTTCTCAGAGTGGTAGACAAGCATAGGCTTCAGTCGGAAATCCCCTGAAGCATTGGCACCAAGCAATAAAGTGAGACGGTCTTTCATGGGTTTATGCCCAGGTAAAGAGGCTTCATCTCTGTTGATGAATGTTCTTTTGGGCATCTTTTTCCAGAAAAACCCAGTTTCGTCCACATTGAACACTTACTGTGGAAGATAATTTTCTGTTTTCATCAGTTCTTTAAATTCCACTAAAAACTTTGCTGCCCCTTCGTTATCAGCACTGGCAGCCTCACCATGCCAAACTACACTAAATATGTCACTTCTTTTCTTAAATTTTTCGAACCAGCCTTTGCTGGCCCTAAAATCATCAAATTCTGTGCCTGAAGAACTAGGTTAATCTGTCTTTATATGTTCGTAAATCTCCCTGGCTCTTTCACAAATAAATTCAGTAGAAACTGAATCACCTTTCATCTGTTTTTCCCTAATCCAGATGAGAAGTAACCTCATTGTTTCTGCTATTAGGGATCTACCTTTGAACACTGGTAGACTTGTCTCTCACTTTCACTTCCTTGAATTTGTCTTTCTGTGCTTGAATTGTCGACACAGTTGATGTCGACATGCCATATACTTTGCTAAGC